ATTTATGAAATTTGACACAGTTCCTCTTCTCTGATCGGCTCGAGACATAGCTCATCGGAATCAGTGCCCAATTCTTCTTCGGATAAGCCATACTTATTTTTGGCGTTCAGTTTCCCTTTAACCCTTTAACCGTCATATAAATTTCACCCATTGAAACGCCGAACGAAATTTCAACTTTGCCAGGTCATAACTTTAGTTGTACTCACTCGATTTTTATAATCTTGGGCTCGTTGGAAAGCTCTGGACGAGACCAGCACGATGGTACCACATTCTTCGCCTCAGCAGTCACACAACCAGCGCTGGAACGCAGCGACGTCGTCTCAACGCCAGGCATGCAAATGACGAGTTCAAAACTCCGCCATGGCCGTCTCCTTCATCGTAGAGTGTTCAAATTTTTTTGAGAGATCGAGCATTTCGTGAGGAATACGTAACGTCGTTGGTCGCGAGCAACAGTCACAGAGCGCGTGAAGAAACGGGGAAATCCCGTGACGACGTCAGCCGCGCGCCCAGCGCAGCGGAAGTGACAAGCGTGCAGTACTCAGCTCTTGATAACTCTGCTCCACTACATCGTAGCTCAACGCGGATTTCTGCAACAGAAAGCCTGGAAAATTCGCGACCGAATCGATAGTAAATTTTCTATCGTGGGTAAAAAATCATTCCAGTGCGAGTATTTCAACTGATGGGTCGAATTCGACCCACAAATGTATGGTCTGACGGTTAAAGGGTTAATACAACACAATGCATCTATACTACAGTGAAACTCGTCTACTGGTCTACAAGCGACTGCTCAAGGAACCCGGCTTCAAACTGTTGTCCGAAATGTTCCCTATCTGGGGATACATGTAGCTCACGTTGAGTGCACACACAACTCAACCATGCTATCAGTACAGCCGAGAGTTCTCTTGGCACAGGCGCATGCTGCAATGGAGTTGGCAGAGAAGAACACCCTGTAAATGTAAATACTTCAGTACTGTACTACTGGTATCTGTACTGTACTACTGGTATCAGTACTGTACTAGTACCGGTACTGGTATCTGTACTGTACTACTGGTATCAGCACTGTACCACAGTCGACCTACCCTTATAATGATAACCTCTATAACGATATTACCCGGATATTTTTCTGCCAAACCAAATCACTCCATTGACTTTTGTATACAATGCCTTACCTCTATAACAATATTGCTATAACGATATTACCTCTATAACAATATTGCTATAACAATATTGCTATAACGATATTACCCCTATAACGAGATTAAATGGGATGACCAATCGACATTTTCCATTTTATAACAATATCTAGCAGGGAAATAGAGCCCACTATCCAGGTAAGGCAAGCCTCACTTGATAAGGCGCTGAGACATATTGAAATACAATGGGGGCACCATTGGGCACCTTGCGGTGTATATAATGCGCATGTACGTCAGTTTTTTATGCTACGAAGAGTGTAAAATATGAACAAAAATCATGCATTATGACGTACATGTATGAAATGAACCCGTTACCCTGTTATAACAATATTTCTTGGTCTGACGCAAATATCGTTATAAGGGTAGGTCGACTGTAGTGGTATCTGTACTGTACTACTGGTATCAGCACATCATGAAGCAGGGCCGGTGCCACTGGTACGGCCGGTACGGTCATGGCCGTACCAAAAAAATCCCAAAAAGTCGGTCCACGTGGCCGTGGAACGTCCAAAACCGGGGAGAAAAGTTTCGATGTATGATTTTGTACATAACAGGGAGTCGCCCAGAGTGCAGGATTTGCTGTCTAAATTCCAAAAAAAATCTGGGGGTGGACCCACAGACCCCCCTTCAAGATGGCCCTTCGGCCGCACTGCTCCGCGGAAGCTGCCTCCGGCCCTGTGAAGAGACCAAGCCAGCCGTGAACCTGATGAGAGGCCGTTCGCACCTTTACTTCTCAAATCAGGGCAATACTGTAACGGTATTCATTGTTATTAGACATCCTTAGCAAAAGTACGATAACGCTAAGGGCCTATCCACACTATGTAATAAAAACGGCGTGCCGTTTCAGAGTACGTGACGTACACGCGATGCTCTGTCCACACTGCACGCTGTCACCAGTGTAACTACGTCGTGTCCCTGTTCATTATTTTCTCTAGATGCCGCGATTGCACAATGTTTGTAGCGTGTAGACCAGGAAAGGACTCCCTGGCTTGGTCTAGACCTACCCAGCTAGCTACAAAACAAGTGGCGGCCCAGCGATGGCAGCACTGACGCCGAGCTCAAGGAATATCACCCTGAACTCTGTTCCAGGTGCGGAAATTTGGCCACCGTGTGACTCTCGCGGCAGCGCAGCGCCAAGGTCGAGGCCGGCTGTAGCATCGCTTGACGAACCAGTGACAGAGTGCCAGTGTTGGTGGCCGCCGTGCATTTCCAGTAAAAGTCCTTGGCTTTGGCCTTCATGTTGTCAATTTTTGTCACAAGAGGGTTCTGCTTCCTCTCCAAACTAGATCAAATTTTCAGTGAATTCTCCGAGTCTCGCTACTACACCGTCCTCTTCATCAGACCCTGGGATTTCTCTGCATGTCCAGCCATGACTGTATCAATGTCGCCTCCGAGTGGTCGCTGAAACGGACGTGTGACAACTCCAAAGCGAAAACAAGCGGCAGCTGGAAACAGCAAGAAAAAACTGCGATCCACAACCTCCATCGACTCCCACACAACAAACACTGCGAAAACGGCACGTAGATGAGAAACGTGCTTTGTACAGGGGTCCGCGACTCACGTTCCGCATGAATCCCACGTTCCCCGTTTTCGGCCATTTTTCGTCACTCACCTTGGCAACAAGCATGTTTACGGCGTGTTTACGTGGTTTTCTACCTAGTCTGGACAGGCCCTAACCTTTACGGTACTCACTCCCAGCCGTGACAAAAGACGTTATCGGATAACGGAAAAACGTTACAGAGCTCAAAATAACGGGCCGACGTTCGTTATGGAAATTCTGCAAAAAATGCAAAAACTCGCATTGTTTTGTAACTGGCGGGAGATAAAAAGCACGTCGTGCAGATCGAGATGAGATCGAGAGTCGAGATTGCTTCCTCTTGTGACATTTAGCTTTTTTTGGCGAGTTTTGCCTTTCAGTTGACAATTTCTGCGTCCTCTGCTTCGTGCCTTTCCCCTCTATCCCATCTGGGAAACAAAGGACCAGTTCCACGGCACTCCTGAGGAAGAAATTTATCGGCCTCTCCCAGACGTGCTGGAGCTGGAGAACCCTTACAGTCTTCGGTGCTGCGTTTAGGAAAGGGTTTCCAAGGACCTGGGAACAGCGAAAACTCATTTTCGCCGTGCTTTTGCTATTCCAGAGTAAAAGACCTCGCCAAGGTATTCTTTCGGAACGACAGCAAACTAATCCCTGGTTCAAAATTTTGAATTTCCCGCACCTGTTTCCACGAAAATTCATATCGCCATGGTTGTCACGACTACTTCGTCTCAACTATAACGTACTTTGTGCTAAGGGAAAAGTCAGCTTGAACGATCCGAAGTACGGAAAGGTTTGCGTTTACGTTAGCGTTTTTCTAGCTAAGGATATCTATTACCTGACGATGGCCAAGTGCCGAAACGTTGTACGGAACTGGTTCGGATGTGATGCGCAGCGCTATGGGAATGGGTGGGTCCACCCGAATTCTTTTCATACTGTAACGAAGCACAACAACGTCAATTCATACAGCTCATTGGCTTCTGGCTTTGTCTCTTCGTGTGCTATTAAATATGTTTATAACACTGACATTGTACACGCACGCTCCACCGTTGTGAAAGGTTGATCACTACCCCTTACGTATGCAGGGCTTGTGCCCATTTGTGCCCGATTCATTATTTGTTAGGTTTTGTTTAGATTCCTTCAGAGACAATCATGAGACAATCATGAGACAATCATGAGACAATCATGAGACAATCATGAGACAATCATGAGACAATCATGAGACAATCATGAGACAATCATGAGACAATCGTATAAAAATAAAATAATTCAAATAAAAAATTAAAAAATTCAGATGCACGCAGTGATAACGTGCCGGCAATAATTATTTCGAAACCAGGCATGGAAGTGATGCGTGTGCACTCATGATTTCACGGCTTGCACGCTGACTAGGAGTAGGACAACAGTGCAGTCATGTTCACTGTACATGTGTATGAAGTTATACTGTACTGCGAAAAATTGGGAACACCGGAAATCATTCAGGATACTAGTGAACATATCTACTTGTTGTGCTAATAGAATGCTGCTGCTGGGGCTGATACTGTGCTCATCTTTGAATTGTTTGATATAATATCTGTGTTACTGACTCTATCTTGTAGTTGTACTGTTTCTAGTGCCGACCCAGGCACAGACTGTGCTGTGTGCAGGAGAGGACAACCATGACTAGCATACAGTACAATGTACTGGCAGGAACACATGCCAGAGAAGAGAAGTCAATCAAAAACAACTAAGCCAGATAGAGAAAGCCGATGCAATCAAAAGAGAGAGAGGGAGAGAGAGAGAGAGAGAGAGAGAGAGAGAGAGAGAGAGAGAGAGAGAGAGAGAGAGAGAGAGAGAGAGAGAGAGAGAGAGAGAGAGAGAGAGAGAGAGAGAGAGAGAGAGAGAGAGAGAGAGAGAGAGAGAGAGAGAGAGAGAGAGAGAGAGAGAGAGAGAGAGAGAGAGAGAGAGAGAGAGGGAGAAGAGAGAGAGAGAGAGAGAGAGAGAGAGAGAGAGAGAAATGTATCCACTACTAACTGTTACATTCCTATAATCATGGAGACAAAACGTATAAATGCGTGTACCAATGACCTGCATTGGCAAAACAGTAACAACCAGGGAGTAGTAATATACCGGTATGTTACTACTCCCCGGTAAAACCACCTGTACCGTAAGAACTGATCCCAGACTCCACAGGATCAGTCAACATCAGGAACGTTCCTATAAGGTAGGGCACACGGGAATAACGACATCCACTTCTTACCTGCTGCGTGTCTTCACACAGTACGCGCGGGGGGGGGGGGGGGGGGGGGGGGGGGGGGGGCCACGAGACTGTGTACGTGTAGCAACGAAACAGTACTTCGCACTGTGCAGGCTGCCTGGCATTATGGCTAACTGGTGTTGTTGAGCAGGTCCTCGATATCCTGGCTCGTCCGAGCAGTGCTGGTCAGCAATTCTGCCCTGCCCGCGGCGTTGATGACTACGATGTCCTCGACCCGCACCCCGATGCCATGGAAACAGGACGGCACACACGCGGGAGCGTTGTCGGCCGGGATGTATACGCCGGGCTCGATCGTCATGGTTACGCCTTCTCGCAGCGGCGCACTTTCAGGAACGAACTTACAGTCGTGCACATCGGCACCGACGTAGTGACCGAGGGCGTGCGGAAACAGTCGTTTCACGACGGCTGACGTTTCGCTGGCACTGGCTGAGTTGCGGATAACGCCATTGCTTCGCATCAGGTCTTTCATCTCTTCCAGTGATGCGTCGTACAGCGTTTGCATGGACGTGGGTGTACCGGATTCGGCCGCAGCGTCAATCATCCCGATCGCGTTGCTTTGCACTTGCACGACAATGTCATAGAGAACTCGTTGGCACGGCGTGTAGCGGCCACTTAGCGGCCAAGTGCGACTCACATCGCACACATAGCCGTGCACCTCAGCACCAGCGTCGACCAGCACAAGATCACTGCTCCCGACACGCATGTCCTTGGCCAGATAGTGCAGCACTGTCGCCCGACATCCACCGGCTATGACGGACGGGAATGCCAGCTGCACCCTATTCACTGATGACACGCCGTTGCTCTCGTCCATGAAGCCGCTGTGCAAACGCTCTTCCAGCGTCCATTCGCCGACAGGCACGTCCGAGCGCTTCATCATCTTCAGGAAACCGGCGTGCGTTGCAGTCGCTGCCTTTCTCATGAGCTCCAGCTCGGCGGTTGTCTTGGAAACGCGCAGCGAGTGCAGATGTGGCAGGACGTTAGATACTGGTGAGATGTTGGAGAAGTGAGACTTGATTTGTTTGTTGAGAGCTTCATCAATGGATGCTTTCGGGCTGACGGTGTGCCAGAGCATGCACTGTTTCTTGCGACTGTCCGGATAGTTCTCGCACAGGTACGATGTGAGCTGCTCTACAGGCAATGCTTTGTCAACTCCAAACACTGCGGGGATGGCACTGAGTGAAGTTCTGGGCCCATGCCACAGGCGATCCCGACCGCTTCTCGAGCCAGCGAATATCACCGTGTGGCATGTCTCGTCCGTTGCGCTCCACTCAATCAACAGAACTGACTCGGCTTCCAGAAAGCCGCACAGATATCGATAATCGGCACACTGGCGAAACTCGTAAGGTACGTCTGGGCCCGAGTGCAGCTGTTTGGCTGATACCATAGCAACGATGTGATGCTGGATGTGTGATGGTGCCGCCTTGGTCAACCTCTGCACTAATCTCGATCGGCGTTGCTTGTATTCGTCGCAAGTTACTCCAGGGGAGAGGTCTCCTTGCTTCAAAATGTGTGGGTGCGATGAAGCCAGCGGCTGTCCAAAATGCTGTGATCGTGATGGTACGCTACAGCTGAGCAACCGCACTGCACCAGTGTATTGGCTCTGTATTCCCGGGGCACAGCCTGCGCCCAGCCAAGATCTGAACCTGTGGGGAACTTGGTGATTGCATAGCTGCATGCATGATGCTGCTTTTGCTGCTGCTACTGGCGATGGTGATGATGAGAAAACTCTAGCCCGTGCCAGATTCATCACACTGGTCACGCACACCAATGTTTATCCTCCCACAGACTCCTAGTCCACGTCCACACCGCGTACCGTTGTGGTAACACTCCAAGCAGTGCACAAACACTCCACAGCCACGTGCACAGCGCCCGTACATCGTAGTCTAGTCTGTCAGAATTTTACAGTGACAGATTTCACTCAATACTTGACAGAAGCGTGAATCACGAGCTAGCAGCGTAAAACAGCAGCGCACCTTCTTCTCCTTCTACACTATAGTACAATGTCATGTAGATCTACATGGCACCAGTTTTCAAAAGTGCAAACTCTTTCCAAAGACATTCGCCCACATCATGTATGTCACCTGAGATTCAAATCCATGGCATGTTTGCCATCGATGCGCTTGGCCAAATTTTCCTTTCCACTTTCAAATAATTATTTTCCGAGTAAATTTTCGCCCGTTGATTGGATTTGTCAGGAAGCGCAGCAATAATGCGATGTTCATGACTTTTGAAGTGTTCTGCTACATGTACATAATTGTATTTTCATTTTACAATCATCGTTTTTGTATGAAATAACTAACTTCAAGTAAGTCATGACTAGACTGCAATCAATCAGTGCAGTGGTCGGGAATACAGAACACGGCATACACTGATAGTAGTACTCTAGTCTTGAAGTCGATGTACAGACTGGGTGTCCTATTATTATTGTAATCCTCCCTGGACACTTAAAACGACGTTGATATGGACTCTTTGCTGTTTGATATGAATATGATTGATCAATTTATTCTTGAGTGATGAGAGCCTGCATACATACATACATGACATAGTGACATAGTCATTGTAGATCTACTCTTGGTGCTACAACTAGTAAAGTCCATAGACTAGCAAGCCAAGAGTCCACAATTAATTGTTCTATTGAAGCCTGCGGCAGTCGAGTCCTGGCGTATACAGCCGGCACCTACACTACACGCAATTCGCAAGAGCACACAACAGAAATTAAATGTATACCTGCCTTCTGCCTTCAATAACACAACACTCTACTTTTCAAGACTCCCTCAAGTATCAAGCAGGACACAAGACTGCAGCCGAGGCAGCAGCAATGAGCATAACGTCACCATCACCAAGTGTGGACACCAGGCAGCTAAAAAGCAGGAGTACTTTTCGGGGGAGGACAGCTAAAAGACAAATGTGACAATGAAAAACAAAGACAAAGCGCAAACGGAAGACGGGCCAGCTTGTCAACATCTACCAAGATGCAAGAACTATAGCCAAGAGTACATCAGCTCATAATACTCTTGCTGCTACTACTAGTAGTACCTTATCAGTGCAGCGCTGACAAGGGGCAAGGAAGAAAGAGAAAAGCGAGAACAGAAAAAAGATGATTTCGTTGAAAAGGTTTGTGGCGGCGTAGTCGTAAGCGACTACAAGAAACACACCGCTATAGGCAAGTAGAATGAGTGTACTGCCAATCCGATATGTACACACACACACACACAGAGACACACGGACAAACACACACACACACACGCACACAGACAAGCACACACACGCACACACACAAAGTAAAGTAATCAATGATAGCTGAAACCGTGACTGTACGTTGCACGCATCGACACAATACGTCTAAGCGACAGACAAATAAAAAAATTAATATTTTATACTTCTGATTGGAGGTCTGGAGAGGGGAGCCCTAAGCATGGAATAAAGGAGAAGGGATGAAGGGGGAATAGTTTAGCAAGATGCATAAGCAAGGCAGCCAGACAGCAGAGAGCCAGATGAGAGACAAGGTTCAGGGAGACAAAGAGAAGGGAGCAAAATTAGAAAGAAAAGAAGAAAAAACAGGGACAACATGAGCGAGAGAACAGGAGCAATGCAAAACAAGATGGCTGCTCGTGATAAGAAAAAAATACGTTCAGCAAACGAAGAGAACCAGCGATGACCACACACATATCACTAGTAGTAGTACATGCCTAAACACACACATACACACGCCCATACAGAGGAATAACAGAAAAACGTCCTTGGTCATCATTCAGGCATCAATACACACACTGGCCACGATACTTAGCCAATGTTCTCCAGCATATCCCAGACGTCGGCATCGTCTTCGTCAGCCACCGGTGCGGGTTTCTTGGCAGTGTGCACGCCTGGTGTCACCCGCTTGGCTTTGCTGGTGCTATTCTGGTGTGCCAGTGCCGGAGCAACGACTGGAGGTGCAGAGGTGTTTGTCAGCACACTGATACCACCAAGAGTGGCCCCTGCTGCTGTTGAACCTGCTGCTGCTGCCACAGGTGATAGAGTTGCTGCCTCTGCAGCTACTGGTGGTGACACCGACGGCACCGGCGAGATGCTGTTGTCATCCGGCGAAGAGGCCTTCTTCTGCTGGTGCGCTTGCCTCGGCTGGACCACTGGGTCGGACGGGAGAGGAGCGTCAGGATCAAACTCGTCTTCTGGCAAAGGACTAAGGCCGTTCATATCGTCGTCATCACCGTCCGCGTCCTCCATCTCCTCCTCAGCTTCGCGGCGTTGCCTCTCTTCTTCTTCCTCCTTCTCCTTCTGACGGGCTTGCTCTTCTTCTTCGGCAATGCGCTGACGCTCGGCCTCAACCTCATGAGCCGGCCGCAGGAACCATGGCGTAACCGTGTCGTGCTTCGGCTTGGGAACAAGCACGTCCTGGGACACATCCATTATCTCTTCGTGGCGCGCCTTCTTCAGCAACTCCTGCTCGTCCATGACCAGCAGTGCCGGCGTGGTGTCCTGATTGGAGCTGGAGTTGAGCGACACGTCGCTACTCACTGCCTTGCTGCCTCTACCAGCTGCTGCTGCCGTCACGGCCCGGCGGCGGTGTGCAGCAGCCGACGATGTCTGGGCATCCTCCGCTGGAGACGCCTCAGCCGAAGTGTCGAGATCCATGGGCATTTCACCGCCGTCATCGACCACCATCGACTCCTGCGTCTCCAATGGAGGGCTAGACCTGGTAGAGTCGGCCGTGTTAGTTATCACATCAGCAGGCTTAGAGCTAGCGGCCGGAGCGGCACTGGCATCGGTGCCATCACCAGCAGCACCAGTGGGTACTGCAGTCTTGTCAATGGAAGGCTGAGCTGGCATGTCATCGGATTTAATCTTGGGTGGCGACGGCGGCTTGCTGGGTGTCTCCTTCTTGAACTTCTGAGCAAACTGTGCGCGCGCTGACGCGTCCATTTCACTGACAATGACCTTCAGCTTGTTGAGGACGGCAGTTGCACGGTCCACAACGGCTTCACTGCCTTTGAAACGCTTGACCTGCACACGCACACGGAGCAAGCAAGAGCAAGTTGAGTTGCACACAGTGACAATAGCAAACAACACTCCCCCCCCCCCCCTCACATCACACATCACATACATTTATTATTTTATTTCACCTTCCCGTGGCCAGGGAATATAAGCCAATATGGAGGGAGGGGGGGGGGGGGGGGATAGCCAGCCATGGCAGTAAGCAAAAACAATGCAAAAAAGACAGATTACATGTACACATACAAATCACTCCATCCTTGTGGTGTTGAGCACTGCTAGGCAATCTGGGAATTCTCGCTATCGTGGCTCACACATACAAACATACATCCAGACAGTACTCGTACTTGCTCACTGCCAGAAACTGGCCTCGTGGGTCTCCCCGAGAGAGGGGAGAGAGATAAAAATAAATCTTGAAAGGATGGCAATTGGCTATTGAACCACCCAACCCCCCTCTGAAATCTGCAAATAGACACGCACGCACAGCGAAGACACTAACCTGGCGCAGGGTTTGCACGAGGTTCATACGCTGGCGCAGTAGATCCTGTGTGATCTCCATCGCTGCAAGCTCGTCAAGAGCCGCAAGACAAGCACTGACATCCTGATAAAGAACAGAAACAAACACACGTACACATCAAAAGTTGACGAGACAATTTATATTTAAATCGCATTCAATAACGCGCAGTCATTCTATACAATCATGCATCTACACTAGATGACCGTCACAAGAAAAGAAAACGTTCTAAGAGCCAACAAACTGTTCCGTGGATGATGTGCGCAGATACAGGATTGTATAGAATGACGGCGCATAGTATTTTTATTGATTGCGACATGCACACAAAATAATATAGATTGATAAAGAACAGTGAAGACACAAATACATATTCAGCCACCCACACAATAGTACATTGGCAAGCAGCTGCAAGGCTCTTTTTGCAAACGTTGTATGCGACAAGGAATGCTCGCGTTCTGTATCAACTGCCAGCAGTACCCCCCTCCCCCAACAACACATAGTCCCGGGACATATAGTCTCCTTCCAACATGCGTTACTTGTACATGTAGTCTACAGGAATGGAATCCTCCAGTACTGTTGCTATAGGGAACCAAAACCCACAACCAACACAGCATTGCTGTACAGCAGCGCACACCGACACGCTAGACAGCCAATGAAACAGCACGTAAATCAATCATCTACCTTCTTCTCCAGAGACAACGACTCGACCAGCTTCTTCTCCAACTGATACAGGCGCTCCAGCATCTCTGTGACCATGGATACGCAGACAGTACAAACACAACAGACATACATCAACCACTGGGTGGCAGGAATCAATCTTATGATTCTTATCACATGCCAAACAGAACAGAAATACAAAATAGCCAGTACAATGCCTGTATTACACCTGATGCCTGTATTAGGCCGAGTAAAAAAAATTACTAGATGATCGTCCTTTTTTTTGGAAAAATCGGGGAGGGCGGGAGGATTTTCTTTTTCTTTTTTTACTTTTTACCCTCTCATGCACACAGTGTACACAACAACATCAAGGTTTTTTTTCTCTTTTTTTCTTTTTTTTTCTTTTTTTCTTTTTCTTTCTTCAGCAGATCGATACTGACGTTGTGATATACTAGTAGTATGTGGTCCATATAGTAAAGAAAGTATTAAACAAAGCGTGCACATGTTTCCTGCATCCGCGATCGGTAAAAAACCAACGATTTCGGCAAAAACTCACGATTTAAAAAATAAAATATTTCTTGGGGCGCTGACAAAAACTGGGGCGGACGGGGACGATCATCTAGCTTTTTTTTTTACTTGGCCTTACACCTGATGATAAGGCATGGCAGTATACTACAGTGTAGTGAAAACTTTCAAAGTGTTTAAGAGCCTGAAGCGTGTCCTACTATTTTTAATTTAGTATTTTTAATTTTATGAGCCTCTGGATCCGAAAAAGGGGGCTTATGTCGTTCGGCGCAGTATTGAGAAAAAATGCATTTGAAAGTTGAGTTTTCCATATAAAGCGATGTATAATTCACTTAGGGACCGTCCGGGGTTACCGATTGTTTTACAAAACGAAACGTTTCAGTATTTTTCAGCCCCACTCACCCACCCACCTTTTCTGTAGGTGAAACGAATTCCAATAAAATATTGATGTCAATTTTTGACACCTAAAAGTAACTGGGCATTCCCCATCGATGCATTTGCATTCAATAATTATTTTCAAAACGAAACTCCATCAAACCCACCCACACCCAAACGAAATCCTTTCGTTTTAAAAATATTATTGGTAACCTTGGACGGCCCCTTATTCAAACACCCATAACTCTGTGAAATATAACGGTTTTGGACCTGGGTTCTTTACAGAGTGATCTGCTGCGGTACAGCAATGTCATGGTATAGATAACTCAAAATGCTCAAAAATGACATAAGCCCCCTTTTTGCATCTAGAGGCTCAAATATCATTGCATTCTTGTCTCCGAGGAAACTGTTTACAATGCGTGTGCTGCGCAGTATCTCACCTCTCTTTTTCCGGGCAAGTTCACGCTCTCGCTCACGGGCTTCTTGTTCACGGCGCGCCTGCTCTCTCCGCTCCGCTTCTGCTTTGGCCTTCGCCGCTTCCTTCTCCTTGCGCAGTCGCGCCCTTTCCTTGGCTTCCTCAATCTCGGCTTCGGTTTTGACTCTGGCCGGCGTCTCTGACTTTGGCTTGGATGGCTTAGCAGGTGTCTCCTTTTTGGCTGCAGATTCAGACTTAGCCGGTGCGTCACCATTGCCACCAGCGCCATTGCTGTGTGACTGCATGGCGGCTTGTTCACGCTCAGCCCTCTTCTTCGCTAACTTCTCGCTCTTCTTACGCTCTTTCTCGGCCTCCTTCTCGGCTCTGCAGTGAGAAAGAACAGCGGCGGGACAGGCAGATAGACAGACGCAGCGGCGGGACAGGCAGATAGACAGATGCAGTGTACAGACCAGTGAGTTAATACTTAGCACTGTCCCCCCCCCCCCCCCCGAAACAGAAAACAGGCCGAGGACAAACATGTTGGTAACAATATAGATAAGATTACGAACAAAACGGATGCAAGTCAAAAACGTACTTCCAACAAAATCGTTCGTAGTCTAAGCTGCAACATCTACCCAAACCAATCCAGTCAGTGCCACTGAAGTTACTTACCCATGCCACACAGGACACCCAAACCGCTGGGGTGGATGGCGGGAACGCGGTGTTCTCGTTTCCATCATGCCAACTGGCGAAGCACTGTCATTTAGGTTTCCTCAACTTAAACACTCAAACACGGTCTCCTTGACACATACATGTAAGTGACTTGAAAGGTTCAGCAAAACTTCGGGATTAGCCCATCATCAGGTTCAAACAGACAATTAAATGCAAACTAACAACGAAGTGAGTAGATATGTCGTGAGCTGCTGAAGAAAAGTGATGAGAACAGCGTGTGAAGAAAACAAAGTGTGCAAGAAACGTGTGTATGTGTGAAGAGTAGCAGCGCTTGGTAAGGTGTTGGGAGAGAGGGAGAGAAGTGGAGAGCTGAGTGTGTGTGAATGTGACCTAGAAATAGAACACATGCAGTGTAGCTGGAGCTGTACGTGTGAAGTCAAATATGCTAAGCTGCACTGCATACATTCTAGTTTGACGTCGCACTAACACTTTCACACACACACACACACACGCACAGAGCTCTCCGCTTCTCTCCCTTTCTCCTAACACCTTTCACCAGCGCTGTTACTCTCCGCACGTTTCTTGCACAATTCGTTTTTCTTCACACACTTCTCACTTCTAATCACTTTCCTACAGCACCTCATGACATACCTACTCAATTCGATGTTTGTACTATGGAGAGCCAAGGAGAACATTAAATGGAAACAAGGAAAACGGCGGGGCACAAGTTATGCACCGTGTGCACGTCTGACTGTTCCAAACCTGGTTTAGTTGGTGGACTCTAACGCAAAACGTGTGCCCCACCGTTTTCCTTGTTTCAATTTAATGCGATGTTGGTCCGGACTTAATTTTCTGTGTCACACAGATGACGGGCTAGGCCCGAAAATTTGGTGAATCTTTCAACTTCAAGTGACGTATGCAGCAAAGAGACCGTGATTGGGTTGAGGGAAACTAATTTGTCAGGGGTGCGCTGGAGTTTGCGTGTACCTTCAAAAGGCACCAGCACCAGGTTGTGAAGCAAAGTTTAATTGACAAAAAGACACAGGAAAAGTCGCAACTCACTGCTTGTGAGCTCTCTTTTCGTCTCGCCTGGCCTTTTTCTCCTCCTGCTCCTTGAGGTATTTCTCAGTCCGCATGGCCGCAATCTTTGCAAGTTTTGACGACTTTGCAGCAGCGTCGCCGCGAACCCCATCTTCTGAAGCATAGAAATGCACACAGCCACACAGTAGACATGGGTAAGGACAGAAGAGCAGCAGACAAGCACAATGTAATGTCTACTAGTGGAACTTCACAAGTATTCACAGGTGTAATTTCGCCCGGTGCATAATCTAGGCAGTAAAAGTCCACAGCCACACTGACGCTGATCAAACAACACCAACACCAAGCAAGTGGCTGGAATGGTAATGTGAAGCGAGTAAAGCTGCTTCCCGGTATCTTGCAATGAGCGTGCAAACGGTAATCTGGCAGGTACGTATGTAGCAACAGCAGCACCACAATCGACATACATGTCACCACCAGCAGCATCACCACCAGGTATCACCAACACTACCAGCACCACCAGCATGTATCACTACCAGTACCAGCACCACCAGCAGCATCACCAGTAGCAGCAGCATCACCAGCACCAGCAGCATCACCAGCAGCAGCAGCATCACCAGCAGCAGCAGCATCACCAGCACCACCAGCAGCAGCATCACCAGCACCACCAGCAGCAGCATCACCAGCACCACCAGCAGCATCACCAGCAGCAGCAGCATCACCAGCATTTATCACTACCGGCACCAGCAGCATCACCAGCATCACCACCACCACCAGCATCAGAACCACCAGCACTAGCAGCAGCAGCACCACCACCAGGTCAGCTCAGCACCAGCACCAGGTTAGCTCACCGTTCTTGTCCGTGGCTGCACCACTAGTACTGTCAGCTAAGGACTTGTGCACAGCAGTTGATGGTGACTTGGCTGATGGTGACTTGCTCATGGCCAGTTCACCAGACTACACACAAGCGCGCACGCACACACACATATGCATGCGCATGCATACAATGCCAGCAAACATAGGTACACACCCACCCACACACAAAAGTGCATGCAGGCATGTACAACAGAAACAAGTGCACAGGGTTCCAGTCAATGGAATCCACAATCTGGCTCACCACCAACCACTAGCAGTACCTGCAGAGTGCAGACCCAGGCTTGTCAGAAAACCAGGTGCCCTTCTACGAAGGAAAGGAACAAACCCAAAATCTTGCAATAGACTCTGACAAGGTAAGTTCCGGCTGGCATTGTCCAGTGCACTGTAGTACTGTAAGTCAACATGCTTGAGTACACGACCAGCATTGATGCTGACCTGCTGTACATTGCCAGTTGAAGACAACAAAACCAATTCAAGAGTATCTGGCAAGAGAATGTATGCCAAGACACTTGAAAGAATCAAATTCCCTCACCGGTTTCGGCTTTGCCCGTTTCCTTTGCCCCGCTGCTTGTGTGGACCGTGCCGAAGATACTGGCCGGTCATCGTCCTCGCTGTCGACATCACTGTCACCGCTTGATGAGTCGCTCAGCTCATCATCATCGTCATCCGACACCGAGCGCTTTCTCTTGACGGGCTTCGGTTGGCGAGCAGACGCCGTGGTGCTGCTACGTCGACTTGGAGCTCTCTTCGGCGTCTTCAGTTTACTAGAGGACTTGCTACTGCTGACTGAAAAGTCCTACAAAGACCACACACAGAGTAATAGTGATACACAGCGGCGGGGAGAACGCTGGATTCGTCACATCGACAACAGCAAGGAGAAGAATTCACACGCTTAAAATGCTCTCTCTGTCATTGCCGTTGGCCTTGGCATGATGTCTCTGTGCGGTGTATACATCACGTACACACAGGACAAAATAGCACTCCCCGTTTTCCGCAGATAAAGTTGCAGACAGAACAGGTATAATATTCTGCTGTCCACAGAACACCTAACACCTAGAACAGGTGCACATCAGCGCAGGAGTCAAACTGTACCGCTGACTGCTGAAGGTGCAAGGCCGCAACAGGCAGAACATGTTCCAATTGACCTAGCACGAGAACTCAACCAAACGAAGAGTGGTGTTGCAAGCACCTTGTTCCAGACCTGCATAACCCCCCCCCCCCCCCCTCAAGATATCAGCTCTGTAGACCGGCATAATCAAACGCTCCCCTAGACATGCACAGGATGCAAGCTACTTGAGTTGGTACTAGTACAAGGCATAGTATAATGTATCATCATGGACTCATGCTAGCACCTACCTCATCTTCAGACTCGGCCGAATCAGAATCAGACGAAGGCTCAGACATGAATCCCTCCTCTTCCTCTGCATCGTCAACATCATCATCACTGCTATCAGCATCATCAGCATTACCGTCGCCATCGGCATCCGATTCCTCAGACTCCACGACGTCCTTGGCTTTCTTCGGTGTCTTTGCCGGTCTCTACACGCCAGAAAACGTCAAGAGAATCAAAGAATTGAGCCAACTCCTCCACACACAACACAAGACGACAGGAGAGTTCATAAAACGTCCACAGAACAATAAGGGCAAGCAAGGCTAATATAAGTCGCTAATCTGAGTTTCATGCTCACGCAATCATCAGGCAGCATGACTGCGTAAGCATGAAGCTCAGATTAGCGACTAATTAGCCTTGCCTGCCCTTGCGGTTCTGTGTATTATGCTCTGCCTCCGCGGTGTTGAGCACTGTCAGCACACTGGGTACACCCTCCGCGGTGTTGAGCACTGTCAGCACACTGGGTACACCCTCCGCGGTGTTGAGCACTGTCAGCACACTGGGAGCATCCTCTGGTAATTTAAAATGTGAAAAACAAGCCCCCAAGTGCCCACAGTGAAAATGACTCTTCAGACCAGTTTGGCTCAGTGCTTTCTCCGGCCTTTCCCTTCTAAAAAGTGAATAGGCCTATGCTGCACAAAGCTTACAAGAACACACAAACGTCTCTTATTCGGACGCCTTAGATACGGGCATGTCTCTCTACCGGGCACCTTCAGCTTGAGTTTCTTTGGCAAAATGCTTCGAATTTTGGGATTTTGATTTTTTCCGTATGCACAGTTGCTTATTTCATCACTGCCAACTTGTGTAATCCACACATTTTATCAAGGGATTCTTTTTTTATCCTGAGGATGTGCAATACGTGCCAAATAAACTTCGTCAAAAACTGATATGGTACGTGATAGATGAGTTATCCTGAGATACGGGCAAATCTGAGATACGGGCAGTGCCCGGTCCCAAGGTGCCTGGATAAGAGACGTCCGAGTGTACACATACTCTTATTACACACACACTATAGAGATACTGAGTTACAGTATGATGAGACCAGTACGGGGATTAGTGTCATTGTGCAGCAGTGCACACGCAGTGTACACCAACACAGCAAGCAAGACATGATTGCAATGCAGTGGACATGATGTACACCAACACAGCAAGCAAGACCAGACACGATTGCAATGCAAAGCACATGATGTACACCAACACAGCAAGCAAGACCAGACACGACACGATTGCAATGCAGTGCACATGATGTACATCAACACAGCAAGCAAGACAAGACCAGACACGATTGCAATGCAGTGCACACGGTGTACACCAGCACAGCAAACTAGACAAGACACAACACGATTGCAATGCGGACGCTAACCTCAGCAGCAGCACTGGATCGGCGCTTCTTTGCCGCCTGTTTCTAAATTGGAGACGGAGCAGAGGAGAGAGACGATCATCGGTACAAACAGTCATTGTATGACTTGCCGTCACAAACAGTGCTGAATGGGTGGTTAGTCGGACACAAACATGCGACAAGACCGCTTGCTCCCTTACGGAGCTTGCTCCACTCCAACAGAGTGGAGTGGCACAGTCTGGTCAGCAAGTGAAACAAACTAGGAGTGATGTTGGTGTCACTTTCAGCCATACCGCCCCGGGAGGCATAAGCCCATTGCACAATGACAAAACTGGCACTGCCAACAGTCAACACCCCACACAGCCACACCTGGGTATGGTCGTCTGGGGGTGTTGAACAGTGCATTGCTGATCCCAGCGTACTCACACGCACTACTCATACGTTCAACACTCGGCAATGCGCAATGGGCTTATGTCCGTCATCATTTTGTAGGTTTGGTGAAGAGCTGACCTGGTCGACCTTGATGAATGCGCCGTGAACACACAGAGCACGAAACATGTGTTTACAATGCATGCTTTGATTAGGTCAACGAGCTGCAATGGATGTGAGGAAGGGCAAGCGGGGGTCTTTTTTTTCTAATCCGGTGGAAGGCACATGCAGCGGAGGTGAGTTCTATATAGCCCTATGCATGGCTAATGACTGCAGAACTCGCTTCGCGCTTATTTAACCCATTGGAATCTCAAAAAGCTACATTCTACCTTTACTCGCATGACACTTGATTACATAAGTGAGGACTCATCAAGACCATTCCATGTGCTATAATCTACATTTCTTCACGCCCTTCTCATTTCTTCATGCCCACTTCATAGCTGAACGGTTGAGCATGACCTTTGTACATGTAGTACAGTACGCACCGTGTGTGTCTTGACACATTATACAAATGACCATGAACGCCGCCGATGTATGCCCTGCACTGTCTGTATAGGGCCTACAAGTAGTCTTACAACAAAAGTCAACACTGCCAGTTTAGGAAGTGCCCATGCGCTGAAGCGTCGTTGCAAAATGGGTTTTTTGCCATCCTTGAAACGAGGGGGGGGGGGGGAGCCACACCGCAAGTGGAGAGGGATATGCACACGAACCGTTGTATGACTTGTGATTCGCGCTGTGCGGCGTAGCAAGCAAATTTCATTCGGGACGGGAGGGAGGCGTGGCAGGGGTCAGAGTGTGAAGTGAGCACTGTCCGTTTCCGGAACAACGTGGCAGGATTGCGATGGCGCCACAGGCAGGCGGGCGGTGCATAGTGGTACCGTACAATGGCTCGCGTACAGAGCACTGATGTCATGCAGTCGCCTGGGCACTAGCTGCTGATAATAGCACGTTGCCACCCCCCCCCCCACCCCCCCCACCCCCCTTCAACATGGGACATTTCATGATCTACATAAAATACCATGGAAGTCGAACGACGAAAATGTGTCTGTCCAGCTTCATGTAGACATTGCCAGCTGCAGCTTTTCTAGTCGCTCCTTGGTACTAAAGACATGGAGGTCACTTTTTTACGCTCTGGGCCAAGCATATGCAACAATGACCTCCCGCCAGCACACTGCCTAAATGTAATCATGCTGCTTCTTCCCTGCACTGCGAAAAAATAAATATAAAACCACTTTCGGAGTACCGGTCTATGTAACTTTCCCTGTCGCTTGCAACAGTTTTCGAGCGGAACTGAATTCCACGTAGCTAGCAGATATCCCACAAATCCCGAGCGAATCAAGCACATATGCGTGCCCTAGTACTGTACTGTAAGACCAGTAATGTTAACGAACATTTAATTCTAACGATTTAACGAATTTAAGAAAATCGTTAACATTCGAAGTCATTATGTAGAAAACGATATGTACATGACAGTCATCTGCCGGTTTTGAGACGGAATTCGTTAGAATTTCACCTCACTAACCCACAAAAATCCGGAGATTGTTAACTTTAATTGACGTTAAAAACTTAAAATATCTGGTCTTACAGTACAAGAGATGGTGGGCTCTGAGTGCATGGGCACAGCACGTAATGCAGGCAAGTGACGCAATCAAGTGCAGCACACTGGCTCACGAGCACAGACGCATACTCGCGGTTATGGACTCTTTGCCGGGTCTTACGCATGGGTAGGTACGACACACAGTCTAGTTGTCTCTTGATAAGCCTCGCACTCAGTCCTGGCGAGAATATTGTCACTCAATTTGCTTTTTTTGTATTTTTGTATTTTGCATTTTTTTTAATCAAACCACCACAGAGTCGCCAGGCTGCTCAGCAATGAACATCAAAGTGACACAAAATGTCACTAGTAGAGCTGCTTGTCCCCACAGCAGCAGAGTGCAGTGATTGGCCTCTGCTACACATGCAAGCACAACCTTAGACAGTACATCTCAACCAGCAAATTGTCAACTTCGTACATTGGTATACAGATTGCCAGAAACCAGCAAGGGAAATAGCACTATCCACAGCCACATAAACATGCATATCCTGTCCCTAGACAGCTGGCAGATACACAAACCATCAAGACTTACCTCAGCAGTGCTGGGTGTCGATGGCACTGCAGGTGAAGAGGGTGCCACAAACGTGTGAGTGACGTGAGGGTTGTTCGCGATCTCATCCAGAGCTTCACTAAAACCTTTCCTCTTTATCGGCTTGCCGTATTTCGATTTATACTTTTCATAGTCGAATAATTCCTTTGGAAGCATGTGTGCTCTACATATCGTCCAGAACACAATAAAACAAGATAAAACGTTTTGGGTTCACAACTTTCGAAAAAAAAGTCCACTTGGCGACGGAGGAGACGGGAACTCACGTTTCATGAGTGCCGAAGAAGAAAATCGGCAACTTGTTGCCAGGAACTTTCTCGCCATCTTTCGGTGTCTCCACCTAACACCATGAACAAATAAACAAGAGGAAATTTTCAATGGATGTCATTTGAATTCTCAAAAAAATCAGTTTCCTGAAGTCAAGGACTAACATCTACAGCTATACAGGCTGACTAAACAAACGACTTACCCTGGCGGGCCAATGAGGGTAACCCTTCATCTTGGCGAATACAAGATGGCCTGGCTTGAAACCTGCCATGGTGGCAATGGGAAAGATGCTGGTGAAGATATTGTTGACTTGACCTTAGCTGCTCGCAACAAAACCATGAACACTTCTTGCACGTCGCACCAAACAAAGCAGCAACAAATCGGCCAGCGCAGCTAGCTAGCCAGATCAAGCCGAGATCAAAATCAAAAAAAAGTTTTTCGCGTTGTAGATCTGTAGCTGTACAAAGTTCTTTTTTCGTGTGAAAGGCGCGGTGCAGCCGCTGCGCGGTTCGTGTTCACGTTTGAAAAGTTTAGTACAAGACCCAGGCCAGTACAGTGGCCATGGTGGCAGTGCTTCTTCTCTTGCTGGTACATGTCGTTCACCATACAGCCAGCATGACAACACGTTGTCCCGACACTGAACTGCCTATAATGAAAACATAATCAGTAGTCTACCTGGAGCGCGAACAACTGTGACAAAGCATAAAAGCTGCAGCTGAGCTGGTGTCGTGAACTAATATTATTAGTAATAATTGTTTGAAGTGAAGCCCGGAGAGGACGAGTTGTGTCAAGGCTTGACAAAATACAGCAAATTGTAGCCAGTTGCAATTATGGCTTCTAGCTCCACAAATCGGCCAACAGCTTTCATTGTTCGGTACGGTGAAAGCAATGCAGCATCACCACCATTCACAGAAGTAAGCTTTAGAAGATTTTAATACATACTTGCAAGTCACAGTGTGTGATTCTGATAGTAGTGCTGAGCAGGAAGTACTAACACGTTTTTACTTTTTAGTAAAACTTTTTACTAACTTTTTAGTACTCCCTGGTGCTGAGTGCAAGTGTTCTGTTGAACAAACACATGTACAGTCAGACCTCGCTTAACCGCACACATCCGTTTTCCACAAAAATATCCGGATAGGCGAGGGAACCGGATAATCGAACACACATACTGTATGTAAGCATGGCATATGCTGTACATTTGTAACCAACTATTTTCTTCCGGATGGCGAGGGATTCGGATAAACGAGGACCGGATAAGCGAGGTCTGACTGAACAAAAAATAGGCTTGTTTCCGGTCGGCAACCCCTCAAAAAGGAGACTCGGTCGGCCGGAATGAAACTTTTTTTGGATACTTTTTTTTGGTTCCTCAATCGTTGTGGCATTGATGGACAAGAGCACCTACACATGTACATTGTACATTATATCATGGCAAGGATCAATGTCAAAGTAAGTTGACTGACTCACTGTTCTTGTACAGCATGTGGTGTATTCCTGTTCTCGTACATCCTGAGAAATCAAGCAAACAGTTCGAGTCCTTCCAGCTCCGTTATTCTAGCTCGTATCGACCCCGGAGGTTTTCGAGCCGACAGCTGAGAATCTCTGCTACCTTGTAGGTGTTTCAATTGTGAAATTCGGTTGAGATTTGACTGAGTTATGACTCGTTTAGTGCACTTGCACACATGGCATTGCCACCGTTTGCATACATTTGGGACCAAAAAAAGTTTCTGAATTTGGGAAAAAGTGGCCCGGTCGGGCGACCGGAAACAAGGTCATTATTTGTTTTGGCCTAATAATTATTATAGCTTTAAAAACTCGCATGTAAACCTACTATATTATAGTAGGTTTACATGCGAGTTTTCACCCCAATTTTACTATATTCTCAAGTGAATCTCAACCCGTCACCACCATGCACTCTCAGCCGAACCAATGCACGAAGCATAAACACACCAGCACTGCAAGGACATCTCCGTTGACAGATAATTGCTACGTCTCTAGACAGCTGTTTCGCTCCTTTGAGCTCATCAGTAGAGGATGATAATGATGATAATGGAGTGTAAAGGAATGATCATTCTTATACTGCAGAAATGGTGCAATTGCGCGCTTTCCACATAGAACATTGGCATATGCTAGCTGCTAAATGTGAGAATAGTGTGAAGAGCTATTGTACGCGCTCATTGGTGGAGGAACCACGTGACCATACTATCATGTGACGTCCGTGCTGTCATGTGACATGCTCTACCAGTGTTGCTGTACTCTCTATTGACGGGTACCCTGGCTGTACGCTTTGTCTTTTGCAGAGTTTCATCAATTCCCTATCTGGAGCAGGCCGTGCATGTGGAGTCCACAGTGTTGATGTGTCGTATTGTCTGAAGGATCAACGTCTTGTTGTGGCACCACGCGGCTGCACTGCACTGGACAGCGACTCGAAGGACTCGGTTCTAGCCGTAAGTGTGCTCATGCATGCAGGAGGGTGTGTGTGTGTGTGTCTGTCTGTCTGTCTGTCTGTCTGTATGTATGTATGTATGTATGTGTCTGATCCGAGTTCAATTTTTATTCTTTTGTAAAAATAGAAATCCAGCCGGGGACCACCAAGACCATCCTACACAATGTGCCAAAATACACAGTGTCACGTACGTGCCTTTTCTCTTTTGTTTTGTCGTGTGGTCTGTTGCCGCTAGCGACCATCTAGTTGCCCTTTCAATGAGCTGCAATGTTCACGTGAAGTTTCCGAGTCGACCAGAGCGGAGTCGACGTCGGTGCAGCGCGACGTAGCGGTGGCCGCTACGATCGTTCTCGTCTCGTCGGATAATGCAGTTCTGCTCACACAGCGAGCAGCTCACATGCGCACCTATCCACTAGTCTGGGTAGTACCAGGTACAGCACACATAGTACAGCACACATAGTACAATGCTGCTCAATGAAATCCAAGTCGCGTCACTCGAGTTTGCGCCTTGCACCATTTCGCAGCCCACTCTTCACAGATCTAGGGGGCTGCGCAACGCCCGGCGCGTACTTGAGCGACGCGGCTGGATTTCATTGAGCAACACTCTACTATGGTACATATGCATGCTTATCCCGGTACATGTCCTGTAAAATCCAACCCGAGCAAATCCAGCCAGATTGCCCGTGTCTCTCCCAAGAGCCCTGTATACTTTGTATACTTTGGTGTTCTGTCTGTGAACAATAATAGAAGTGTATGGCCGCGTGATCCGTCAATGCAATGCCATGATCCTGCCATGCCATGATCCTGCAATGCCATGATCTACGGCCTTTGGACAATCCTTAAATAAAAATCAATCAATCAATGATCCTGCAATGCCGTGCCATGATCCTGCCATGCCATGATCCTGCAATGCCATGATCCTGCAATGCCATGATCCTGCCATGCCATGATCCTGCAATGCCATGATCCTGCAATGCCATGATCCTGCCATGCCACGACCCTGCCATGCCATGATCCTGCCATGCCATGATCCTGCCATGCCATGATCCTGCCATGCCATGATCCTGCAATGCCATGACCCTGCCATGCCATGATCCTGCAATGCCATGATCCTGCCATGCCACGACCCTGCCATGCCATGATCCTGCCATGCCATGATCCTGCCATGCCATGATCCTGCCATGCCATGATCCTGCAATGCCATGACCCTGCCATGCCATGATCCTGCAATGCCATGATCCTGCCATGCCATGATCCTGCAATGCCGTGCCATGATCCTGCCATGCCATGATCCTGCAATGCCATGATCCTGCCATGCCATGACCCTGCCATGCCATGATCCTGCCATGCCATGATCCTGCCATGCCATGATCCTGCAATGCCATGATCCTGCAATGCCATGACCCTGCCATGCCATGATCCTGCCATGCCATGATCCTGCAATGCTGTGCCACACTACACTACACTGCTCGTACTACACTTTCCAGTTTGCACCCGTCGACCTTTCTTCGGTGTTGGGGATCAAGCCACTCTGTACATACACAGCATTTACGTAAACTTTACGCTGTGTAACAGTTATGTACGAATTGTCTGACTCCGGAGATGGCACTGTACATGTACAATACTTATCATAGAGAGATCCCTCAGCATCCCCACCACACCATCATGCCCTGGAAAGGGCCGGAGTGGCAGGGCGCTTTGATGGGAGTTTTCGGTGTACGCGTATGCACTAACTAAGAGTTATGTATATTGTGCACTGTTTCATTTTTATTTGCCAGGGCGACTCCCGTAAGTCCAAATAACTGGCAGGGCAGGGTTGGGCCTTTTCTATTTCTTTAAAAAAACTAACTAACTAAGAGCGCTGTACAATGTAGACGCACTTACAGTCGTGTTTGTGTTGCTGTGCAATCAGACATGCAGTGCGCCCAGTGATGACACATTGAAGTGTCCCTGAAGACACACAGTGTTTCAGTGGTGACCGGTGATTGCTGATTGAGATTGTGCAGTAGGTGATGTACGTGTACTGGTGTTGGCATATCAGCTCTGTTAATTGTGGTCGTATGATATGAATTGACGGACCTAAGTAATGAAGATGGCATCGACAAATTCTGTTGCTATTCTTGTTGTTGGTGTTGTAGGTGGTCATGTCGAAGAAGGGGAATCAGTAAGTCTACTGCTGCAGTAGGACTGTCACTGCGATCTGAAAGAATTGAGGCGCAGAGCTTTGAAAACCAATTGGCCCGAATAGACCATACTTTATTGCTTCAAAAATCACAATATTAAATTATTGGTGCGGTTTTGGACGCACCAGTTTCGACGCCCCTACTCTACATCTTACCAACGATACACGCCTGCTTCTGAGGAGAGCAATGAGCACACTGTGTGGTGTTGTCCTACAGATAGAACCTAGACAAGGTGCTGACATCTTCCGTGTGTGTGTGCGTGTGCGTGCGTGTGTGTGTGTGTGTGTGTGTGTGTGTGTCCCATATGGTGCAGTGGTATGTGCAGTCGATTTCCAATCGAGAGGTTGCGGGTTCAATTCCCGACGATTATGGTCGCACACGTCTTTCTTCTCTTTCTCGGACTCTTCCTGACTTTTCTTTCATTCTCCTGGGTGGTTACCAACAGCCAGTGTATGCCGGAGTATGTGGTGTGTGTGTGTAGAAAAAATGGAAAAATGAAAAATAGGGATTCACTGGCCAGAAAAAAATACTTCAAACAGCTGTGCGGTGGATACCAGGCTAAAAATAGTGGCGGTCAATTCATCAGCCTTGCAAGCTGTTGAATGGTGTAATCCCAGCACAAGTTGCTATGTCTAACATAGCTTTTCGCTATCATCGCTTCCGCGATGGGCATGTCTGAGGTGTGTGTGTGTGTGTATCCCTCTCTCTTTCTCTCTCTCTCTCCCTCTCTCTCTCTCTCTCTCTCTCTCTCTCTCCTATCTTTGTTCATCTCTCTCTCTCTCTCTCTCTCTCTCTCTCTCTCTCTCTCTCTCTCTCTCTCTCTCTCTCTCTCTCTCTCTCCATGTATCTATCTCTCTCCCCATTTATCTGTCTACGGGTATCTAGCTTGAGCAAGCTGCGTTACGTGAGGTGACTGAAGAAACTGGACTTTGCTTGTCAGACAGTGAACGAGCGACATCACGCGTTCTCTGCTTGTGGGAGGTGAGCCATGCTCTAGTCCCTATGCTCTAGTCCCTACTCAAGTGCATGCTGATCAAAGGGGGCTTGCTAGATTTCTTCGTGCTGCTGGTGCTGGTGCTTGTGGTGCTTTTTTTACACCAACATGGTACTCAGTACTGCTGTATTTTATGTAGACTCTTTAGAGACTCTTTTAGCATATCAATGTGTGTGTACGTGTGTGTGTGTGTGTGTACACGTGTGCGTGCATGCATGTGTGTGTACGTGTGTACATGTGTACGTGTGTGAATGTATACCCAGTCTGCGTATCCAGCATTGCTGTGTCAGGGTGTACCACGCCGTCACCACATCATCGCCTACATTGGCATCCAGTGTGCAGACGATCACAGTTCACTGCTGCAACGCATGAAGGCAAGTTCCGACGAGGTGGCAGCCGTCTCCTGGGTGCCTCTCAGTCATTTCTCTCAGACTTTCGGCAATGATGCAGCTGACAATGCAGCAGAAACAACACTCTCCTTCAAGTAAGTTACTGTCGAGGCAAAAAAATGTCGTCAGTCAATATTTTCGTCCAACTCCAAAGAAAGGGAGTTCGTCTGGTTGAAAATTTCGTCCATGGATCATAAGAGTGTATAGAAAAGCTGGACAAATCGACATTAGTCCGGTATAGGCCTTATGCACATTGTACAGATGCACGAAATCCCGTATAATCTTGTAGAATCCCGTAGACCCGGTTGGGTGTTGAATGTGCAGGACCCTATTGTGTTTACTGCTATTTCCACTATGAAATGGGCCATGAAGGCATTTCATACGAAATCTTTTTCCGGCAGAGATCTAGCTAGTCGTTAGTTCAATCCCAAAGTGAAGAAGGCTTGAAAAGTGATCGTTTGCCATGAATTGTGAGGCTAAATGGGTCAAACGCGCATGTATAGCACACAATGAACACCCAACCGGGTATGTACACACCTACGGCCATAGTACAGAACTTCGTACATCTGTACAATGTGCATAAGGACTATTTAATTTAGTCCAAAAGTCCCTTGGACGAAAAAGACGAAATTAAATTCCAGACGAATATTTCTGCTTATACCGTACATGTATCTCCCAATCATCACCATTAGACTGTAGAAAGCGGCCAGTGGCTGAGAGGCCGGTCACTTCCAACCCGTCTGTGGTGTGATGGTGGGGTGGAGCGTATTAACCTTTACTGACCTCCTCCATAGTACTGTCTGTATTTGGTGACAAGAAATCTGGGGCACTGCTTATACTCCAGTGCGGTGTATACTCCAGTGCGGCTTATCCTCCAGTGCGGCTTATACTCCCGCTCGTGGATCCTTCTTTTGCAAGATGAAGTATGTTAGGGAAGAAGTCTTTTCTCAGATAAGAAATCGAGGCGGGGTGGCACGTGGGAGAAACAAAGTGATGTTTCATGGTACGTGTACATCGGGTCAATCACCCGTACTCTGTGTGTGTGTGTGTGTGTGTGTGTGTGTGTGTGTGTGTGTGTGTGTGTGTGTGTGTGTACACGTGTGTTTGTGTATGTGTGTGTTTGTTTACATATATGTGTGTGTTTGTGTATGTGTGTGTGTGTGTGTTTGTGTGTGTATACGTGTGTGTATGTGTGTGTACGTGTGTGTGTACGTGTGTGTACGTGTGTGTGTGCGTGTGTGTTCGTGTATGTGTGTGTGTGTGTGTCTGCTATGCACAGAGTGTATAAGCCTGGCAAGAATGAAGCGGGTCCCGAGTCTCGACCTATGTCCGTCTTCTCACAACCTCCGCCCAGCGTTCCAAGTAGCCACTGGGAGCATCTGTCGAGCGGCACAAAGTTTGCTATAGAGCAAGTTTTGAGGAGATCATAGCTGAAGCAAGAGTACGTAACCCCCAAGAGTGTGTAACTCTGCTTGGACTGGCTATGGGATACTCTGCTTGGACTGGCTATGGGATCCACCGACTGTGAAAACTCACATCACACAGTGTAGTGTGCGCGGTGTACATGTACATTCCCAGCTGTGCTGTGTACATTCCCAGCTGCGGTGTACATTCCCAGCCGCGGTGTTCATTCCCAGCTGTGGTGTGTACATTCCCAGCTGTGGTGTGTACATTCCCAGCTGTGGTGTACATTCCCAGCTGTGGTGTGTACATTCCCAGCTGTGCTGTGTACATTCCCAGCTGTGGTGTACATTCCAAGCTGCGGTGTGTACATTCCCAGCTGCGCTGTGTACATTCCCAGCTGCGCTGTGTACATTCCCAGCTGCTGTGTACACTCCCAGCTGTGGTGTACATTCCTAACTGTGGTGTACATTCCCAGCTGCGCTGTGTACATTCCCAGCTGTGGTGTACATTCCCAGCTGCTGTGTACATTCCCAGCTGCTGTGTACATTCCCAGCTGCGGTGGACATTTCCAGCTGCGGTGTACATTTCCAGCTGTGGTGTACATTCCCAGCTGCGCTGTGTACATTCTCAGCTGCGGTGTACATTCCAAGCTGCGGTGTACATTTCCAGCTCGTTCTTAGAGGGCAGTGCGGTCGGTAGTGAAAACAGAACTTCCTGACGAAAACCCACTACTGAGCTGGTACGAGTCACCAGCATGATCCTGGCTGATGTTTGGACTGCGCACACACTGTCACTGGCCTATGTTGTACGTAAGCGCCTACGTTGTACGTACGTGTAGTATCAAAATGAAGTACTACAGTAGTAGCACAAAGTCCTGTTCTTGGAACACGTGATGTGAATTTTCGCCGTCAGAGATCCCGTAACGCATTCTTGACAATGTAACTGTGTCACGTGCATGTATGAGCTCCATACAGCCCAATACAGCCCAATACAGCCCAATACAGCCCAACACAGCCCCATACAGCCCAATACAGCCCCATACAGCCCAATACAGCGAGCGTATCTGTGACCTGCCCAATATCCAAACACTTCCCTTGTTATCCGAACACTTCCCCTTATCCAAACACTTCTGTCCCCGGGGAAAATCGCGGAAAAAATCGCAAAAAACGCGGGGGAAAACGCGGCATAATATTTATGGCATAATTTGCGGTGAATTTGCGGTATTAAAATATGCGGTGAATATTATTGATATGCGGCAAGTTTGCAGTTGATATGAGGCAATTTTCAGTGAGTATGTAGTGAAATCAATCAGTTACAAGTCTCTGGTGTAAGCACTCGTCATATTTGAGTACATAGCCGCCACGATGAGACGTTGCTGACCGAACAATGCACTGTGTATACGTGTAGTCCAACAAAAAAGTTCAAAAAACGCGGGAAAATCGCGGAAAACACGGTCTTTTAAAAAATCGCAAAAAATCGCGGCCGCGGAATCGCGATTTTCCCCGGGGACCGACACTTCCTATGTTATCCAAACACTTCCCCTTATCCAAACACTTCCCCTTATCCAAACACTTCCCTTGTTATCCGAACACTTCCCCTTATCCAAACACTTCCCCTTATCCGAACACTTCCCCTTATCCGAACACTTCCCCTTATCCAAACACTTCCCTTATCCGAACACTTCCCTTATCCGAACACTTCCATTGTTATCCGAACACTTCCATTGTTATCCAAACACTTCCCCTTATCCGAACACTTCCCCTTATCCAAACACTTCCCCTTATCCAAACACTTCCCTTTATCTGAACACTTCCCTTATCCGAACACTTCCCTTATCCAAACACTTTCCCTTATCCGAACACTTTCCTTGGTATCCGAACACTTCCCCTTATCCGAACGGCATCTGCCCGGAATGGTTTGGATGACCGATACTCCATGCTCCACTGCTGTAGCAGGTCAGTGTTGGTGTTCAGGAAGCATTGCTGGTTTATTCACCATGATTATCATATTCTTAAATTATTTTTCATTCTCTTGCCTTGGCCGTGAGCTAGCATTGGATACACAGGCACATGGTGACGACCAGGGGAGCACTAAGTCACTATTTTACTACTCAAGTACACTGTAGTTATTATCAAGAGTACTCAAAAGTTAAAAATCCGAAAAAAATTCCGATGGCGACCGTAGTCACTGGTAGTTGTACAATCATATCTGTACAAGTCATGTAAAAGAAAAAGAAAAAGGCCCAACATGCAACCTGTCTTGCCAGTTATGTGGACTTACGGGGGTCGCCATGGCAACTAATAAGTAGTAAACCATCACGATCACTACAATCGTCGCTCTCCGACTCATTGCTCCCTTCACCATCCGCTCTCTCTGTTATCCCGGCCTGACTTGGTCCATTGAACGGGACTCGGCCGTCACCCTGCTGTCACGTCATGGGACGGACGGTGAAGGGAGCAATGAGTCGGAGAGCGACGATTGCAGTGATCGTGAGAGTGCCGGTGAGAATGTTAGTGTTGTGCGTAGGTTTCGTGGTAGCAAGTCTTCAGTGTACAATCATCTGTTGGCTAGTCCTGACTGTTGCAATTCGTATTCCGACTCTTCTTTCACTGTATTGTGCCGTGGTCGTCATGGTTATGGACTACAGTTAAAAGTTTTGGAAGCCATCTGTCAGCGTTTGTATAAGCCTAATTTGTGTGTACAGAAGGATAGTATAATTGGGTTGAAATTGTTCAAGTAAAGTGTCATGTTTTGTGCGGCCAAGCTTGGCCGTTAATTTTCTAGGTGTAATGTACTGCTGTTATTTGTTATCACTTTGTCCCTTTCTCTTCTTTGTTCATTTTTCAGTTGCAAGTTTAGTGTTAGTACACACATTCGTTATTGCTCTCGCATTCATTGATAAAATTCACACTTGTAAATTTCACTGCTGTTGTTCTTAGTGTTATTTTCTCTAACTTAGATTTTCTATAATAGTTCAATTTCGTTTTCATTGTCCTTTAGTACAACGAAGATTCCTGATGAGTGTTGTACGAAAACTTGTTTGAATCCTCATTTTCTCTACACCATTTCTTCACATTTTCATCGTTTTTATTGCACATTGTCTCCACAGTTTTACATTACATGAATAAAGTGTACACAAATGTCGATCCAGCTTGTATCACTGATTGCGGTTATCAAATTGTTGTCTCCTCGCCGTTTGTCCAAAAATAATGCAAGCTGATTTCGAAAGTCATGAGCAGGTTGGTTTGGCCGTGAATTTAATCATAAGTCTCCAGAAAAAAGCAGTTTTCGTCCTTTTCTGCAGTATTCCGCAGGATCTTCCGAATTCTGTGGACACTATTGGATTCTGCGGAGATAATTCTGCGGACATTCTGCAATCTGCAATCCTCGGACCAAACCACAAGCATACTCTAATCTTGCACTCTTGTGTACGCACACTTGCTGTCTACAATTGTTAGTACAGTCAGACCTCGCTTATCCGGTCCTCTTTTATCCGGATCCCTCGCCATCCGGAAGAAAATAGCTGGCTACAGATCTACAGCATACGTGGTGCCATCCAACACCTAAACAAAACCGGTGTTCGGCTATCCGGTTCCCTCGCCTATCCGGATATTTTTGTGGAAAGCGGATGTGTGCGGTAAAGCGAAGTCTGACTGTATGTTCATCAGAGAGTAGTCCCTGATGATAGCATCCACCATCAAACTGCAGTGTACGTAGTTGCTCCAACTGCAGACCCCACAGCAAACCAGGATACAGGACGACACAAGAAACTCACCGCATAGCAAAAAATCAAATATTAGAAAATTCACAGCACCAACAGTGAAGGGAGAGGGAGAGAGTGAAGCACATAAGGGGGGGGGGGGGGGAGTACGGGAATTCAGCTGTGTGACTTTGCTGGCAGGCCGAACGATGTCGATAAAACCATCGTGGCAGTCGGTTATTGGCAACACTAGCTACGTCTGTTTCTAACTTTCTAAGCATCGATTGAGCAGCACAATTACCTAGAAAGCAGGTACAACTGTACACGGGTGACTAATTATGTTAACTGCTGCAGTAGCAACAAAAAAGAAAACCAAAAAAAGATGTGACTCTTGCTTACGCACAAGTGGGCAAGCAAGCAGCCACCTCGAACACCAGGAAAGAGGCAAGGTAAAAAATACAAACGGAATACAGAGATTGGGCACGGGTAAGAAAAGCAGGCAGATGTGAATACAGGAGAATACGCCGCCGTCCCCTGGAGAGGAGACTTGCTAGTTGCACTATCGAGCATAGCCACGAGCTGACAGTGAGAGCATACACATCGGCAGAGCGCGTTTGCGTCACCGACGCTGCCAGGGATGTGCATGCACACTATATGATGCCATGACGTTCCAAATATCAACAATCTTTAGCGCAGATGCATTAAACACACACACACACACACACACACACATACGCGCGCAGGCGCACACACACACACAAACACACACACACACACACACACTGTTCATGCATGCAAGTGCATCCACAGCACATAGACTGCTCACGTGCAGCACTGGCTTCGGCATCACTCCACTAGGCGCGAGTGCAGCCCACTGTCACGTGTATCGCTGTTTAACCATCGCCTGCACTGCAAAGAAAACGTTCAGTCGTACAGCAATAAGCAGTGCGCTGGAGAGCCTACTTGCAATGCAGGCGCGCATCCAACGAATGGAGCATGACGGTTCTTGGCACACTTACGAGCGCGCAAACACGCGCACTTGCACACAAACAGACGTACACACACACACACATACACACACACATGCGCATGTGTACAATCACACACGTACACACACATAAAACCTGGCTGTCAAGTCTCTACATACTGGCTTGATGTCCTCCACTCTGCCAGTCTGCCACTCTCTAAGATGACTTTTTCTCCTGTCTCCGACGGAATCGGCATCGACGTCCTGACATACAGCCAATGAAGAACAGGACTAAGACGAAGCAAGCGAACATGGAGGTCAAGCTGACACGTGACTTGGACTTCATGACAATGCTTGCCATGTCCTTTACAGAGTCGACTTGATTGGACTGCAACAGAAAACAACAGCAGTAGCAGCAACAATGAGCAATTACGACTCGTACACTCTTTTAAAATGCAACTAACTTGCACCTGTAGCAACACTAGTTGACAGTAGTTCAGTTCTTGTCAGTGCAATCTCCTGGGCTCTCTCCCTGTCCCCCTGAACATGCCCACGTCCCCCCGAACCAGCCCACATCTCCCGTGCAAAACTTTTAAGAAAAGGGAAGGAAAATGTTTGGTTCTGAAACTTTGCATGATTGGTGTGGAATGCGTCGATGCATACACTACTTTCCGAATTGAATACACATCATATACATGTACATGCATGCGATTTCCGTCGTCCAGCATAGCAAGACACGTCTATTTCAGAGGGACGGCTAGGGGAGGGGTCCAAGTACGAAATGAACGATGTTCGTTTCCGGGACAACAGATGTGGGGCCTATCTAGCCGAGGAAACCTGCATAATGAACTGCTGGGTTGTTTTGCAATCCTGTGAGTGTGTAGGTAGGCAGCTGTGAGTGTGTAGGTAGGCAGCTGTGAGTGTGTAGGTAGGTAGCTGTGAGTTGCAGCAGACAATGCACTGCCTGCTGCTGCTGCTGCTGCTGATGTGTCAGGGTCTCGTCCCGTAACAATGATAACATGCTGCAGTGAGCATCCAAGGAGCAGTACAGTTGGATTGCCTGCAACATACTCTAAGCAGACACACACACACTACAGTACACTGCAGTGCAGTGCAGTGCACTACTCATACTCATACTCCTGCCCATCGTTGAAGCGATGATAGCGAACAAGCTATGTTAGACACAGCAACGTGTACACTACACTGCATTACACAGACACAGACACACACGCACATTACACAGACACACACGCACATTACACAGACACAGACACATTACACAGACACAGACACACACGCACATTACACAGACACAGACACACACGCACATTACACAGACACAGACACACGCACATTACACAGACACAGACACACACACACACTACACAGACACAGGCACACGCACATTACACAGACACAGACACACACGCACATTACACAGACACAGACACACGCACATTACACAGACACAGACACACACGCAGAAGATGACTACTAGAACCCTACCTGGAATTTCCACATGCCTTCTCGATCAGCAATTGCTTCACGACAGTCGGAAGTAACGTTCTTGGGTTTGTTCACATACGCGTCATGCAAACAACTGAACACTGCAGTGTGAAACACACACGCGTACGCGCACACACACACACACACACACACACACATGCCCATCGCGGAAGCGATGATAGCAAACAGCTATGTTAGACACAGCAACTTGTACAGGGATTACATGTATGCCATTGAACAGCTAGCAAGCACACAGCGAGGACACTGAGTTGAACTCCAGCACCGACCCCCTAGCACACAGCGAGGACACTGAGTTGAACTCCAGCACCGACCCCCTAGCACACAGCGAGGACACTGAGTTGAACTCCAGCACCGACCCCCTAGCACACAGCGAGGACACTGAGTTGAACTCCAGCACCGACCCCCTAGCACACAGCGAGGACACTGAGTTGAACTCCAGCACCGACCCCCTAGCACACAGCGAGGACACTGAGTTGAACTCCAGCACCGACCCCCTAGCACACAGCGAGGACACTGAGTTGAACTCCAGCACCGACCCCCTAGCACACAGCGAGGACACTGAGTTGAACTCCAGCACCGACCCCCTAGCACACAGCGAGGACACTGAGTTGAACTCCAGCACCGACCCCCTAGCACACAGCGAGGACACTGAGTTGAATTCCAGCACCGACCCCCTAGCACACAGCGAGGACACTGAGTTGAACTCCAGCACCGACCCCCTAGCACACAGCGAGGACACTGAGTTGAACTCCAGCACCGACCCCCTAGCACACAGCGAGGACACTGAGTTGAACTCCAGCACCGACCCCCTAGCACACAGCGAGGACACTGAGTTGAACTCCAGCACCGACCCCCTAGCACACAGCGAGGACACTGAGTTGAACTCCAGCACCGACCCCCTAGCACACAGCGAGGACACTGAGTTGAACTCCAGCACCGACCCCCTATCACACAGTGCTACTACTAGTACAGTACTACTTGTAAGTTACTGGTAAGTGAAGATCAAGTCCCGTCCGCGGTGAATGAAACAGAGCCGCAGCCGCAGCAGCAATGTTGTTATTCACTGCATAGCACACACAGTGCTCAACTGTTCATACTGCTGCAGTCTGTGTGTTGTCATGGTGCTGAGTTGTCATGGTGCTGAGTTGTCATGGTGCTGAGTTGGCATTTACCTCCTAGCTACTGTAAAGCGTGAAATTTTCGCGGCGTTTTTAGTTCGCGTTTTCAGAATCCGGACAGGTTTGCGAGGTTTTAATTTTGCGATTGCAGAATGTGCTACTATATTATAGTACTGTGGCATTCTTGCTAAACCTTTCATCAAGAGTAGATAAACAAGAGTGTGCAACTCCGGATCTCTCCTGCACAATCTCCAGATACCCCCGCCCACGGCGGAATTTTTTGTTGACGTCACGCTTCTTGCCGCAGAGCAGTGTGAGAGCACGTGCTGGGCACCGACATTGTAATGTAAGCCTTGCCAAGTGCACAAGGCAAAACTTTCCAAAAGACTAGCAGCGCGTGGGTGGTCGAAAAGATTACGGCAACAAAAAATTCCGCCGTGGCCCAACCCATCCGCGCGGATCCGGGAGTTGCATACTCTTGTTTATCTACTCTTGCTTTCATGGATCGCCTTTTCACGCTGTCTAAATTTCGCGATTTCCACGCGGTCGCGAATTTCGCAGAAATTAGACCATGGCAATAATTTCACAGTTTACAGTACAGTATATTGACCACCAAAACACCAGCACCAGCATACACTGTACACGTATGCATAGACTATGCCGGTGGTGGTTGGTGGTGGTGGTGGTGGTGGTGGTGGTGGTGGTGGTGGTGGTGGTGGTGGTGGTGGTGGTGGTGGTGGTGGTGGTGGTGGTGGTGGTGGTGGTGGTGGTGGTGGTGGTGGTGGTGGTGGTGGTGGTGATGGTGATGGTGGTGATGGTGATGGTGGTGGTGGTGATGGTTGTGGTGGTGGTGGTGGTGGTGATGGTGATGGTGGTGATGGTGATGGTGGTGGTGGTGATGGTTGTGGTGGTGGTGGTGGTGGTGGTGGTGGTGGTGGTGGTGGTGGTGGTGGTGATGGTGGTGGTGGTGGTGGTGGTGATGGTGGTGGTGGTGGTGGTGGTGGTGGTGGTGGTGGTGATGGTGGTGGTGGTGGTGATGGTGGTGGTGGTGGTGGTGCTGGTGATGGTGGTGTATTCTTACAGCGTCCATCGCCCGGCCTGACGAGTGCACAGAACTTCCTCAGATCACCAATGCATGTCTGGAATAGCGTGGGGTCGGTGTGAATGTCCATTTTCACCAGAACAACCAGGTTGATCACCTCCTGCAGTGCAGCGTCATCAACAAAACAAGCAAACACAACACATACAGTCATATTCACAACATGTACACATATATACACCATGTAATAATAACTTTATTAGGATGACCCAAAGGCTGACCGCCTATCGGATGTACACACATACTGTTACTTCATGTACACCCTGTACACACACACACACACACACACACACACACACACACACACACACACACACACACACACACACACACACACACACACACACACACACACACACACACACACACACACACACACACACACACACACACACACACACACACACACCTTGTCCTGGTAAACACTGCCATTACGGTCACGTGTCCCCATGCGGGGCCGACAACATGGAAACGACGAGCGACGGCAGAAAGTCGGCAGTCTGCCAAGAGATCAGGGACCACGTTCAATCGGCACGACGAGAGAACCATCTTTGGCAGCTATGGATTTGGAATCCACGAGTAGAGCGGCAGCACCGACCACAGCCCCCCCCCCCCCCCCACACACACACACTACTGTACTTGCTCACTGCCAAAACTGGTCAAGTGGGTCTCCCCGGGAGAGGGGAGAGAGGAACTCAAAAGGAATCTTGGAAAGAGGACTCAATTGGCTATTGAACCGCCCAACACCCCCTGAAATCCCCAAAACTCTGGGTGGACTTGCAAATGATCCCACTTACGGGCTCACCACACCTCAGTAAGTGGGTGAGGACAAGGTGCAGAAAAAGGATTGACGGCATCAGGGTATCCGTCCCGGGATCCACCTGCAGTTACCAGTTACCCCTGCCCCCAGTGAGGGTAATACTTGCTACTAGTGTGGGTGGCTAAATCAGAGTGGATCTCACATAAACTTCACCAGCACCAGTGATTACACAAGAGTTAATCTAGCCAGAAGCAGTCCATGGTCAACAGGTATGTATATTTCAAATAGAAAGTATATGAACCCTGAAACCAACAAAGGTGGCAGATACAACAATACACCTTCAAGCACGTTACAGCTTGCTTTTTTGACCTGAGCAAAGCCTTTGACCGGGTATGGCCTCAGGGGCTCTGCCTAGTATAACCTCAAAAATCCAAGAAAAAATTGTTTACTCGCGCCTCTACAAACACATCTCTCCACGTCAAGGTGCTGCAGGTCCGGGGTCCAGACGGGATTAAAGGTCTTCCAGGATCCCAGACAGCTGAGCTGGATCTCAACATTGGCAACTTTGATCAAGAGTCATCAGTCTAGTCATTAACGCATATGTTGAGAGTGTGCACTTTACGCCTGATCTGCTCAATGTGTCAACTGCAGGGTTCTAGCCAAAGGGGGGGGGGGGGAGGGGGGGGGGGGCGCAGCGCCCCCCCCCCCCCCCCCCTACTCTGTTTGCGCCCCCCCCCCCCCCTACTCATTTCCCGATTTTCGTGTTTTTTCATGCATAGATGGTTCGTGACCAAGATGTGTGGCATTCTGGATCTGCCTCCTCCCATGGTTCGCAAGTCGTATTTTGGCCACTGTGATGCACGTTTCGAGGCAGTAGTGACTAAAGCTGACCAAAGTGGCAGAGAACGCTATACAGGACGGATGTAAGGACATCGTTGTCAACATGCGGCGCGGATGCAGCTCACTGTATGGAGTGCAAAGTGTGATTGCCTTTGATACGGGCAAAATTATTGATGTCGAGATTTTGTCCCGTTCATGCCCCTGCCTGTTCTCACTGGTCGTCAAAGCTTGAGAAACAGAAGATCAGCCAGGACGAATTTGATACCTGGTTTGCCAGCCACGGGGACAGCTGTCTGATCAACACTACAGCTTCAGCGCAGCCGGCAGCCTACACATCAGCAGCCTTGGGAGAATTGGACAGCAAGAAACAGTACCATTGCACCAGAAAGAGCACTGAGAAGGAGAAGAAAGCCAGGAAAAGGTGCAGGGCCAAGAAGAAGTGATTTGTTGATGCTGCTATGGAGAAAGAAGGTTGTACTTATGGAGCAGACGCATTTGGGATGTGCTTTTGACTACACTTTTTGTCTCTTTTTTAGATGTCCGGGGCTCACTTGATGCAGCATAACTCAAGAACAGTTCATCCTCTACAAGCACTTGATAGGTCACTTTGCATTAGAAAGAAATTATCTATCCGATGAACCTCAGGTTTGGATGATAGGACTCCATTGATAATCAGTTTTTACCTGAAATATTCAGACTACTTTTTGGCCGCATTTTGTTCTGCTAAATTCAGCCAGCTGCTGCATCACAATTGCAAACACTGGGCTTGATATTAGAGGTTCATTGGATAGCTATGACACCACTACTTGAAATGTGGTAAGACATGACCGACCTGAGTCACAGTAGCTAATGATACCGTGCATCAGGTGGTGCGGGTTCTTTTCGATAGACGCCATTTTTGAACTTTTACCTCTACCACTCATTGAGGGTGGTGATATACACTATTATATCATTTTTAGCATCCGGTACATGTCAGGAAGTAATGCTGCAAATTCAGCCCTCACCAACGCTGTACAAAGCGTCACTGGCCCGTTTCTCAACGGTCGCGCTAATCGACCAATCAGCGTACAGCTAATGTACCAAAATTCTCAAACTTACCGTAATTCCTTGGTTCATACGGTGTAGTTTCCAAAGATTTTTTATGGACCAACGTCTTCTTTCGATAGATTCCAACAGATCGTCCGCTTCGAATTTTTCGATTTGATTGCTGTTTGGCCGAAAATTACCTCCGAAACCGGCCTCCACTCGTTTCACTTCAAGGCTTTACAGGTGGACGGCATCGCAATTCGGAAGCGGAGAAAGGATAGCCAGTGAAAAAAGAAAAACAACGACGTATTGGTTGTCAAAATCGACCAAGAAATGAATTCAATAGACCCGTTTCCGTGCTGCGCCCTCGCGGCCCGCGCGAGTGCGAAAGGGATTCTTTCTCGACAAAACAAACAACAACTACGCGGAGTACATGCAGGTGATTTTTGCAGTGCAGTACACTGACATCACTGCACTGGCTGTATATACCTTAGAAATATCCTGTTCTTTTCCAAGGCATGATTGTCGCTAGTGGGAGAACTCAGCCACCTGGAGCTTTCATAAAGGAAGAAGTAGTAGGTGAATGAGTTCGCCAGAAAATGGAACGCCAAGAAAATAGATACTGTTGCTTTCGGGCGCTCATGAGACGACGGTAAGATAGGACTGAAACGATCGACGGTCTGCCTCGACGCAAAAGAAACTCTTCTAGGAGAAGCTCGACGTGCTGTAGAGTTTGCAGTATTCTGCTGGAAGAAGACAAGAGAACTAAACTCAGACTACAGCGTGGAGCTGAAGCACGAGCGCGAGCGAAACAAAAGCTGAGCGAGTTCGAAGAAATGGGGAAACACAGGAAAATGAGTGGGCGACATGATCTTTAGCTCGAAGCTCGCGCTAAGACACGCGGTGGGCACGTGCGACTACGGGTAGCGCGGCCGGCCACCATGTTTTCAAAATGAAGGTCGACGCTTTTGAAATCCGTGTAGACGATGGTGAGGGCTGAAATTTGAAGAGAATCTATAAAGGTGTTCTTGAGTTATGAACGAAAACGCGCGTCGGGGTAGGTTTTGGGTAGACTGCTACCTTAACTCAGTCATGACCAAGGCCAATGATGGAAGTTTCCGGAGGAGGAAGGAGGAAACTGTAGTTATCACCAACCCTCACCGCGCCCAGCTCACGCCGCCACGGCGTGCGACCTGAGCTCGGCGCCCTGCCCAGTATGGAACTGTCCTCAAGCCAGTCACGTATTCGGCAGCCCAGTGAGCTGTCTACTGGATCGCAGCGTTTAGAAGCGCCAAATGCGGCAGGGCCAGTCTCAGGCTGGTCGCGTAGGCGGCAGGCCGGCGGGCGACCGGCAAGGCTGCATTCGCATTTGGATCACCGAAGTGATACAGGTGCTTCGACGGCACTCCGTGACGCATCAAGGAGGCATCTGGGGCCCAGGCAGCCCGCCCGTAAGCGCACCACCGTATCAGGTATGCGCAGGTGGAGCAGCAGAGCGAGCAAGATGTGTGCCGGACACTCACCATCATCCGGTCGACTGCATGGTTGTGGGACTTTACACAGCCGTCACTCATTACTTGCTATTGCTTGCAGAAGGCCAGAATTTTTTTTCTTTTTTCGCTCTTTCCCTTCTTCCAGGCACGGCTTCATGTTAGAGCAGTAAATTGCAGTTAGGGACTCAGCTGAGTCAAGCTGGACTCAGCGTGTCATGTTTGGCATAATACAATAAGCGCGCTATCCCCAAACAGTTGTGTGGTTATTGTGTGAGTGTATATGCAGGAGTCCGCGGTCACGTGAGGGGGGAGTGATAACATAAGGTTTAACTCAGTCGTGACCACTTCTGCCCTTCTGTGCAATGGTACAGCCACATTTTTTCATACGGACAAGGTTTTCGCTTGTTTGTTTGTTTCATTAGAAGACCAGGACCTTGAGGGATGCCGTGTACCGACGTCACTTCTTACCTTCAGACATTCACTTGACTTCACCTCGCGGAGTCTCTTCAGATTCTGACGCAAGCACTTGAGGACAGTGCCATCTTTGTGATCGCCCTCTTCGCCACAATGCTCCATAACCTGAACAACAACAACAACAACAACAACAACAACAACAACAACAACAACAACAACAACAACAACAACAACAGCAGCAGCAACATGTGTATCTTCACATTACCCGCATCAATAGAATTGCTCAGCACCAGTAGCTATAGTGGCAGCAGCAGCAGCACCCCCCCCCCCCCCCCCCACACACACACCTTTGGACCTTTGGAAAGCCCATCGCCGAAGGCGATGATAGCTATTAGGCGAGGCAGAAGTTCTTGTGTCGGGATAAATCATTCGGACGGCGAAAGTCGCGGCCGCAGACACAGACGAACACTCTTGGTTGGGGCACACACACGCACGCACACACGCACGCACACACACACGCGCGCGCACACACACACACACACACACACACACACACACACACCTGCAGGCACACATACACATGCGCGCGCACACATATACAACGTGCCATGTACCGTGTGCCATGTACGCCAGTCGCAAGAGAAGCACACACACCTGCAAATGCACTGGATGTAGAGGGGACGGTTCGATACCGGAACGGTTTGACAGCCAAAGTTGTATAGACCCAACCCGATCATCAGCGTGGATTGTTCACTCGAAATATGTTTGTGGAAGGAAACTGGCATGTTGAAGTTTGCTCTGAGGCCAGAGTCAATCGAACTGAGCCACTCCTTTGTGTTGGCCCATTGCCTCCAAGTTGCCCAATTTTTCGCTTCAAATCAGAGGTGGCTCCAAACCGGAAAGGTTTTAGAGTGCACGTCAAATTCACTCTGAGTTCTGAAATTAGGTAATTGCTATCGCTCCACGACGGCCAGTACAGAGTAACAATTAGCCTTGTGTGTGCTTCCATTAATTTCACTGGTATAAGGTGCTCTATTGGCGAGAGGCGAGCCGCTATTTACCTGCGACAAGAAGATGATATTTCGAAAGACGCAAAACTCAAGTCGCAGTGCGAAGCAACACGTCAAAAACTCACCTGCTTGGTATGGCGCTTCTGGTCATCGCAGAGCCATGAAATTTTGGCTCGGAGTAAAACACATTGTAGTCTCACTGTGATATATGTTTTCTAATCAAAATACCAAGAGAGAAAGTGAATATTGAGTCCATTCCGGTTTGCAACCTATTTCCTATTTGAAACTGTCCCTTCTAGATCCACAGATTTTCTCTTATAGCAACGATAGCGGACACGACCCGAATGGAACACATCAAGACTAGCGCCAGATAACAGTCTAATGCACACAACTGGTGAAGCCATGTGCATGCACACGCACGCAGCACCCCCCCCCCCCCCCCCCCACACACACACACATGTACACACACACACACACACACACACACACACACACACACACACACACACACACACACATGTACACACACACACACACACACAAACACACACACACGTACGCACACACACGTACGCACGCACACACGCACATGCACGCAGAGAAAAAAATGCTGCTATAGTATACCTCCTCTCGGCACACATGCTTGAGCCGAGCACTCAACCGATAGTCTTTCGCCGCCAAGCGGGCATCCTTCAAGATATGTTTCTTGCAATCATCAGCCAACTTCACCTTCAACAACAACAACAACACCAACAACACAAGTAAACATTGATTGATTGGTAAACTCTATAACGTCGTAATGTTGTGTGGCCATGTCTGCATCAATTGTACTCTTCATTGCTACGACTGCGAAATGGCATTGGGATGAAATTTAGAAGTATTTCTTTCACCACGAGGCCCGACCTATGGCGATTCGCTGCGCTCTGGAGCAGGCTTTGTGGCATCCATGGGGGGGGGGGGGGGGGAGAGCTGTTCAAAATGGAGACGCTGTTTAAGGCTGCATTGATTGTGGAATCTGGATCCCGAGCCCCGCCGGCCAGATCACTTCGATCGGACAGATACAATTGAACGTGCACAACTGATAATCCGTTTGAAGACCTTTGCAACCGCGTTGCTACAGCCCATCCCGTACAATTCCGTGGTATCTGTACGCATTATGGTGAACTCTTGACCTAGTGTACGCACATTAGGATTTTTGAGTACAGTGGAGATTGGATATAATGACAAATCAAGGTTAGCGACAAAATTCTGTTGCCCGAGTCGTTTAGCAAGTCCTTTCTGTACAATAGTGAGGTTTAGTCGCACGTAACGGATACGGGAACGTGGGTGATACACGTAAAGTTCATGCAATGGACCCACGTTCGCAATGTTGTGTTTAGTCACACGGAACAAACAAAAGCATGAAGCGAAAGGCCCAAACCTGGTCAAAGACGAAGCTTAGAAGCTCATCGAATATTTTGATTTCGTACTTCGGAAACTTCTTCAGCTGCGCACCCTCACAGCTCGCACAATGCGCTCCTTTCTGATTTTCACCCACGTTCTGGCGGAAAGTGGGTGAGCATGCATACACGGTATGTCGTGAATCCGAAAACTGAGTATCACGTGGTACACGCACGTAAAGTACACACGGATTACGTGGAACTAAACCTCCCTACTATAGATTGGGTGTAACGACCTCGAAAATAACGACAGATCGAATTTACTGACACTTTTTTGGTGCCCGAAGACCTGAAAATGCATCGAATATAACGACTTTCCTCTTGTATCAGGCAGAGTGGCATGCATGGGACATGTCTGTGTCACATGCCCGGACCTCTGGGTCACTCCACGTGTGCTGGTCATTGCAGCAGTGCAGCGATGTAGTTGCTATGCATGACTTTTGTCATGAACTATGCATGCAAGACACATGTACATGTACAATACACATCTGAAATCCATATGCATTATATTATGCACGTGCATGTCTGCAATACATTTCTGTCATTTTGATATACATATTGCATACTAAATGTGAAGATCGGGTTTGGTGACAGGTCGAATATAGCGACAAATTGTTTTCTCCCGAAAGAGTGTCGTTACATGTACAACTTCGCTTATAACGACACTCGGCGGGGCATCAGAAAAGTGTCCTTATTCGCGAAGTGTCGTTATACCCGAAGTCCCATTATATGTATTACAGTTGGATGGGACTTGCTCTGGGCATGGAAATTCTGTCGTTATTCGCGAATTGTCGTTATATCCGCAGTCGTTATTAGCGAAGTTGACTGTACATCCAATCTCCACTGTGGATACAATGAAAATTAATCCGTCGAATCCGGCTCTGTGACGTGGCTTGACTGGATCTGAATCCGTGGGACCGGGATCTGGATTGGTACAATCGAACATGTACGGATTTGGCGAATCCGGATCCGGGGCCCACGGATTCGCACTATCGAGCATGCCCCAAGACAAGGGCGCTGTTCGAAAGGGTCATTGTTCGAGATATGAGCATGGTTCGGGATATGAGCATGGTTCGGGATGGGGCACTGTCGGAGATGGGAGTGCTGTTCGAGACAGGGTCACTAATAAAGAAACGGGTCACTATTTACCTACAGGGCTCTAATCACGAAAGTATGGTTTAATATACGCATTAGAGATGCATGCTTATGCACACACACATGCACGCGCGCGCACACACACACACACACACACACACACACACACACACGCACAGCGCACGCGCACACATCAACATACTTTGGTCACCATGCGGCGTAAGCAGGAGATAACTATGCCCTCAGAGTCTGCCCCAGCTTCTTTCTCAGCCTGCTGGTATTCAGAAAGACAATGTGTTCGAATATCTGCAAGACAAGCATTGGCAAGACGTGGCTTCAGCTTCCAACCTACACAATCACAAGGAGAACGATGGTAGTAACACCGACCACGACGACGACGCCGACAACGACGACAACAACGACGACAACAACAACAACAACAACGACGACAACGACGACGACAACAACAACAACAACAACAACAACAAGTGAGAATAAAGATTTGAAACAACACCAGTCTTGGATTCTTGTGGCAGCCAAATAATGGTTAACACTCCGATTTCTGTACTCTGGTACAAGCTACTGTCACAGAGCATAACGATGCAGTGCAGCAATCATGGAGCGTTGCTTCCACGGCCCCCTGTCAAAATTACTTGCAAGTAACATTTAAAACCAGCAAACAGCGCTGTCTGGAATCCCTATGTAGAGTTTAAGTAGTCTTGCTGAGCTGGATGGGCCAGTAGTGAGGAGAGAGGGTGCAGAGAAACTACAGTACATCTCAATGAAATCCAGTCTCCAGTCATGTGACTCAAGTACGCCATGCCGGCCGTTGAGCAGCCCGAGACCTGCGAACACTGGGCGGCGAAATGGTGCGAGGCGCGTACTTGAGTGACGCGACCGGATTCCATTGAGCACTGCTATGAAAAAACACACACAGCAGTGCAGCTGTATTCCCTTCAGCAGTGCAGCTGTATTCCCATCAGCAGTGCAGCTGTATTCCCAGCAGCAGTGCAGCTGTATTCCCAGCAGCAGATCTGTAGTACTATGCTGTGCATACACACGCAGCAGTGCAGCTGTATTCCCATCAGCAGATCTGTGCCATTTCCGGAATTCAATAGATGCTACATGCACGACAGCATGGCATGTGCTTTGTGACCTCACTCGGTGGAAACATCTGAAAACACATGGGATGTCGTCCAACTTGCGTAGGTGGTGGCGTGATGCTTTTGCCCCCCCCCCCCCCCCCCCCCACACACACACATGACGTACACACACACACACACACACATACACAGAAACACACACACATCACACACATCACACACACACACACACACACACACACACAGAGAAACACGTACACACGTGTACACACACACGTGCACACACACACACACATGCACACACACACACACACACACACACACACACACACACACACACACACACACACAGAAACAAGTACACAAACTCATACACAGAAACACGTACACACACATGTACACACATACACACGTGTACACACACATACACACACGTGTACACGTGCATGCACACACACACACACACAGAAACACACTCACTCTTTGCAGACTGCTGGGCACGGAGGTGGAGCACTTCGCGGCACTTTTCATGCGAGCCCTCCAATCCACCATCGGGTCCACCATCGGGCTTGGTGAGCACATTGCGCAAGCACTCCTTGACAGGAACACCAAGGTCTTTAGCAGAGCAGTGCTTAGCGATCAGATCTCCACAATACTTCTGCAACTTGAAGTCAATCTGCGGTGCAAGGAAAATTTCGCGTGCTTTCTTGCCCACCAAACGCTGGCACTCAGGATCTTGGATTTTAGCGCGATGGCTGACAAGGCAATCCATGACTTTCCCTTCTCCGCGAAACACCTGGCCGGTATTTTTGTCGAGACACAACTGATGAATGTCGCCTTTGCAGTTAGTGAACAGCGGAACGTTCAGTATAGCGTGTCCCACCTACACAGAGCAAGAACACACGTGTATCGAAACACATGTACACACACACACACACACGACACACACACACACACAACACATGCACATACACACAAAGCTGAATCTGACTGTAAAACGAACTTAGTCGATTTCAAAAAATAGACACATGGTATTTTTTGAAATATTTCAAATTTGGCTAGAGCTTTTTGAAATTTTTTGCAGAATATTGCTCAGGTCCTTCTCACAATTACTCTCATATAGAGTTTTAGGCGATCAGATAACAAACGCCCAATTTTGAAATTTTTCTGCACAAAGTGATGACACATTTTATGTGGTATAGTAGATGCTGGCCTAACGGGTTTTTTGAAACCACGCGTCTATATTTTTCAAATGCACTGTAGCATACAGGGCGCACAGACGGCATGCATACTGGCATACTGGCATACACCATACAAATACAGCTAGGTTGTGTTGGGCAAGAAGTACTGGTGACGAGAGAACTGGTTGGTCTTTGCCGCAAGGTAGGTATGAGCACGTGAGGCTGCTAGTGGCGCAGGAAGCCAGAAGCCCAGAGGCCGTGATTGCCGCAAAGGAAAGGCAGGACAATAAGGCCATAAGGCCGCAATGGAAAGACAGACCAGTTATGAGTGACTCACCACCAGGTTTATTGTACTTGGAGTAGGACTGATGCAATGTGATATTAATGGTTAGTTGTGAGATGGTGGGTCAAACAAAGATAAATGCAGCAGGTTGCAAGTCGGGCACGGGCCAAAGCAGAGAAGACTCAAAACTGAGAATGGCAAGGAGATGTGCCACGTTGCTGACTCGAACCCGATCAAAACTGAATTTTAAATCATTGTGATGACGTACGCCTAATTGCGCTGTAGAACAGGCAGTCTTGCCGGCGGAGGCAAAGGCGCGCTAACAAGTGACACGCCAGGAACAGTAGCGAGCGCTGTTGCGCAGCAGATTCGTAGTTGCAAGATGTGCGCATACGCAAAACTGAATTCATTACATGGATGCAGTACTGTAGGGTGCCGAAGAACGGACCGCGGAAGAACGGACCGCGGAAGAACGGACCGCGGAAGAACGGACCGCGGAAGAACGGACCGCGGAAGAACGGACCGCGGAAGAACGGACCGCGGAAGAACGGACCGCGGAAGAACGGACCGCGGAAGAACGGCCAGACTAGAATTTCACCAATTTCTAAGAACGGTGTAGGCTGGATGTTTTGCAGATAAAAATGGAAACCGTAGTGTACACTATAATGTACACTCAGACGTATAACTCTGCATGAATGGACATGTAAGACTGTCCTATCGAATAAGAACGAAACTGCTGTGTTCGCTCAAAATAAGAATGGGTTAGCCGAGAACCCTGACCCCCAGTTCTTCGGCGCCCGACACCACTGTACATCAATAAAGGCATGGATGTGAAAACAATGCAAATCACATGCACATACTTCAAAGCATATGTGTGCGCCCACACGCACGCACACACACACACGTACACGCACAGACAGACACACACACACTTACCTCAAGACGGCTCTGACGAATGATTTCTTTCTGACACTTTGGAGATGCCTTGGGAAATGGTGCGTGAGCACCAGGCTTCAAGATAATTCCGGTCTTTTCTTTCAGACAACGCATAGCATCAGTGCTGTTAGAAATGCAAGCGTACGTGCAGACACAAACACACAGACAGACACACACACACACACACACACACACACACACACACAGCAAAACAAAAGAGAGACTGATGCAGGAGCGTGGACAGAAATGAAAGTTAACAATCAAACAACAATCACTGGATAAAACTACAGGTTTCGTCCATATACAGTGAAACCTGTCTAAGACGGCCGCTCAAGGGACCTTCAAAACCTGGTCTCTGTTACCAGGTGGTCTCCTTATCCAGAGTCATTTGACTGGAAATAGCATTCCTTGGTGCTGGTTTCAGTGGTCTTCTAGGACAGGTGGTCGCCTTATCCGAGTGGTCGCATTGACAGGTTTTACTGTAATAGCACTGGTGGCTTTAAGGATCAATATCACAGTTCTTGTTGCCGTTTCTGTAGAGTCGTGATAGTTGACACTAAACTCAATGCTCTGTTCTTCTGCGCCTTCTTTCATTCTATGCTGGATGACGTACATGGAGCAGCAACGGAGGAAAAAAAACAGTGCCCTGTCTTGAATAGTACCCCATCTGAAAAGAACTTTGAAAGGAAAGTGGCCCCAGGGGCAGTAATCGTGCGAGTACAGGTACAAGACTGACAAGCGTGGCCAGGGACAAGACTTTGACAAGCGTGGCCAGGGACAAGACTTTGACAAGCGTGGCCAGGGACAAGACTTTGACAAGCGTGGCCAGGGACAAGACTTTGACAAGCGTGGCCAGGGACATGACTTTGACAAGCGTGGCCAGGGACAAGACTTTGACAAGCGTGGCCAGGGACAAGACTTTGACAAGCGTGGCCAGGGACATGGCGTGAAAGGCACACACCTACAGTCCATTCATCGGAAACTGTCCCGCTGGCTTTTGAAAGTCGGATTTGGGCCGAAATTGAGGACCAAAAACCCACTTTAAATCTCAAAAATCTGGGTTTAGGATCTGCTTCTCCATACATTTTGCCATGGCATACATGTTCTAATTTTGTAAAACCTGGCTGCCTACATGCCAGGCACTGTAGCAGACCTTGGGTAGTACATGTAGTCAGAAAGAGAAATACGAACGGTGACTGATGAGTCGGTGATGACCCAGGACTCACGTGGTCTTCAGTTCTGACAGCTGGTCACCACACAGTGTGAGTAGATCATTCTTGCAGGCAGACTTGAACGGGAAGTTCAGCTCAACATCAGCAGACTTTTTCTGTACACCAGCATACAAACATGTACATGTACATGCGCATGCACACGCACACACACACACACACACACACTTACTTACTTGTACTTGCTCACTGCCAAAACTGGTCACGTGGGTCTCCCCGGGAGAGGGGAGAGAGACTCAAAAGGAATCTTGGAAAGATGACTCAATTGGCCATTGAACCACCCAACGGCCGACACCCCCTGAAATCCCCAAACTAGGGTGGACTTGAAATGATCCCACTTATGGGCTCACCACACCTCAGTAAGTGGGTGAGGACAAGGTGCAGAAAAAGGATTGACGGCATCAGGGTATCCGTCCCGGGATCCAACTGCAGGTACCCCTGCCCCCAGTGAAGGTAATACTTGGTACTACTACTAGTGTGGGTGGCTAAATCAGAGTGGATCTGATAAACGCTTCACTAGCACCATTGATTACACAAGAGTTTATCTAGCCAGAAGTAGTCCATGGTTAACAGGTATGTATACTTCAAATAGAAAGTATATGAACCCTGAAACCAACAAAGGTGGTAGGCACAACAATACACCTTCAAGCAGCCGAGCCCGTTGGCAACAGGCCCAACACTATCTGGCATAAGTGTACCCACCAACCGAACTAGCTGGCAACACACACGCACGCACACACACGCACACACACACACACACACACACATACACACACATACACACACACACACACGCACACACACACACGCATGCACACACACGCATGCACACACACACACACGCACACACACGCACGCACACACACACACACACACACGGCTGTAGTGTTGCGCAATGTTCACGCCATCAAAACGAGCACCATCCGGTGCAATGACAACATTAGTGTCAGCCATGCATTATGCAAACAAGAATGATGTAATGGTGACATCATTACAACCACTGCCTCTTCATAGATTCCGTTGAATAGCGTACCTTGGCCAAACGCAGGATTTCCCCCTTGCAAATACCCTCAGCGTCATCAACATGATCAACGAGACACTTGGACATGGCACCATCTTCGGACATTGGCACATCCTAAACACATTGCACAACACACACACACACGTACGCACGCGCGCACGCACACACACACACACACACACATACCCACGGACACACACTTAGATAGGAGCATGAGCACAAAGTGGGAGACAGGATTCAAACAAACGCAGAAGATCACATGCGCATACAGACATACAGTAAAACCTAAGCCACCACCCTACGATGACAACCCTACGATGACCACCCCACGATGCAAGGTCGTTAGAGACAGGTGGTCTTTAGAACCAGGTCCCACAGTGTGTGTGTGTAGAACTGTCTGTGCATGGAAAAATGGTCGTTAACCCTTTATGTACGGAAAAAATGTACATAGACTGATTTTCATCTCGACTCAACTCGAATTCCATAATTCTCCGGGTCATAACTTTAGTCTCCTTTTGACGATTTTTTCAATCTTGGGCTTCTTGGAAAGCTCGTCGCAAGAGGAACACATTGAGCCCACGCTTGCCACCATGAAGGTCAAAACTCCAGCGCTACAGCCCAGCGTATTAGCTGCCATGCCAATATTCCGACAGAAGTCGTTTTGTATCAGCCATTTCGCTCTCCTTGCTCGTAACAACTAGCTGTTACTTCAAAAAATTCACAAAGTCCCACGAGTCCTTTTACCATTATTTTTGAACGTGTTTCTACATCACTGCATGCCCAGAATGTAGGGGAAATCCCTCATTCAAATCTGCGCAAGTGGCTATTGAGCGACATTTGCCGCGATTCGACTTTCGAGCTTCGTAACTCTGGAACCGCACATCGGAGCGCTTCAGCGATTGTTTCAGTGGACAGCTGGGAGTTTTCTCTTCGACCTACATATTTTAGTTTTTGGAAATAACCCAGGAATGACTGAGTTATGGTCGATTGAAAATTTGAAAAGTTTCGATCCCAGGGGATCGAAAGTTGTACAGTCCGTACACAAAGGGTTAATTAAGAGCAGATGGTCGCTAAAACGAGAGATCGCTTAAACCAGGTTTTACTGTACATACATACACAGTGTGTGGTAGACAGCCGGTGATAGATACATTGCGGATACAGAAGCCATGAATGAAACACTTGCACATCATCTTGTGTCCGACCAGTACGCAGAGTTTGCCATGCACATACATGCCCATGGACATCATGATGACACACGCACACATGCGTGCACACACACACACATACACACACACACACACACACACACACACACACACACATGCGTAGACACACACAAACACACAGACACTTGACACGGATGACTCACCCTGCACTTGCTGACACGCAAAGAAGCACAAGCCCTGAACAAAGGTCTGTTGAGACGAACATCCTGTGCAGATAAGAGTAGCAAAACAACACATGCACACACGAACGCACGCACACACACACACGCACACACACGCACATACACACACATACACACACACACACAGCACACACACACACAACCACAGCCGTCAGTCAGTTATTGACGACACCATGCTCGTGTTCTACATGCACCAAAGACGCTGAGGCAAAGTGGCTGTCATTGCTGCAAGTCAACATCGGGGTCTGCATATCTACTGGTACAGCTTCACACAGAGGCTATACATGCAGGGCGATTGCTAATGGCAACAGCGGCGAGTTGCCAATAGTTATTCATTCTGATTTCCGGTGTTCATCTGAGTTTGGGTTCATCTATACAAAAGGTCAATGAAGGCTTCATGAGCCAGAAAATTGCAGAAATCCTCCACTTATGTATGCTCAGCAACTACAGCTCAGTCTGGCTAGTAAACAAAATATCACAGATCCAGACACAAACACGCACGCACACACGCACACACGCACACACGCACACAGACACACACACAGACACACATTCTCTCTCTCTCTCTCTCTCTCTCTCTCCCTGCCTATCTCCAGCAAATCAACGACAGTGGCCGTACCTTGACAGCAATAGCTGACCATTTGCGCATAGCTGCCTTGCACTTGTCCGACAGTACATCCTCCTCTTCCATCTTGTCACTCAGACAGCGAATGTCCTGCAGGGAGACAATACAGCCATGAAGAACAATAACATGTTTGTTCAGGGGAACAGGGTTAGTTAGATGGACCACTCCACCTTTGTCATAGGTTACTGGTACAGCTGCTTTGCTGGCATCACTGCTTATTGCTAGTCTAGTGAAGTTGAGTCCCGGTGGTGACTATCATAGTTTTTTCTTCGGACTTTTCCACTCTTTCAAATTGATGAATTACAAAAATGTTCATACTCACACAAGTTAGCTACAGTCCATTTCAAAACTATAGACGCGCAGTGTTTTTGAAATCTTTCAAATTTGGCTGGAACTTTTTGAGAATAGTTTTCGGAATATTGCTCAGGTCCGCTCCACAATTACTCTCATATAGTTTCTAAACGATTGGATAACAGACGCCCAATTTGGAAAAATTTATGCACAAAGTGATCACAGATTTTATGTGGTATAGATACTGGCATAACGTTTTTTGCCTAGGTACGCGTCTATAGTTTTGAAATGGACTACAGGTATGGTGTGAGCGCTGTTCAACACACTACTGTCGGTCGCCGAAGAACTGGGAGGGGGGGGGGGGGGGGTCAGCCTCCTAGCCTAGACCATTCTTAGTTTCACGTACTTTGAAGTCTTACAGTCTATACACAGTGGAGTCACCGGTATACATTAGTACAGTCAACTTCGAGTAGAACGACACTCGGCGGTGGCGGGGGGGGGGGGGGGGGGGCATCAGAAAAGGGTCCTTATACCCGAAGTCTCATTATATGCATTACAGTTAGATGGGACTTTGCTCTGGGCATGGCAATTCTGTCGTCATTCGCGAATTGTCGTTATATCCGCAGTCGTTATTAGAGAGGTTTTGCATTCCGAATTTCGGAATGATTTTCGACTGTGCTTTTCCGAAAAAAGCGCGTTCCGAAAAACGGTATTTTCAGTGTTTTGCATTCCGAAAATCTGATTCGACTTCGTTTCCAAGGGTTGCCATGCAAAACAAAATGGAGAGCGTCGAAGGGGTTGAGCAGGATCAAATCCAAGGGCGCAGGTCAAACTGAATTTGGGTGCGGTTCGAAGACGAGGACGGACTGATGCTGGACCAAGTGATCCAACAGCTGAAGACGAGGTTGGTGAACTACTGTCTTGTACTGTCAGTAGGCTCCATGGCGAAAGGAAGATAGAGTGTGATGGAGTGTGAGAAGATTAGTCAACATGGCGAGATCAGCGAGAACAGCAAAAACCAGCAAAAATCAAAACTACATACGTGGAAAAAATTTCAAATAATCGAGGGCAGCAGAAAGCAAAAATACAAACATGAAAAATACACTTTTTTGTATTCAAATATGCACTCCCAAACATGAAAGAGCCGAAAATCCATTTTCGGAAAACCATGCACTTTCGCCACCACACTTCCGAAAGTTCGACTACTTTTTCGACTGCTGCCGCCACATTCCGAAAATAATTCCGAAATTCGGAATGCAAAACCTCTCTATTAGCGAAGTTGGCTGTATGCTGTGCTTGGTGAAACTCATGGCTGGCCGTTCTTGGGAGCCCGACAGTAGTGCCGTGGTCTAGTGGTGTCAAGTTTCATTTTCTTTTTCTTTAAAATTCGGCAGGAATAGCGCAAGCTCCCACGTAGGGAGCAGCACACAATTCTCCAAATGGCAATTATCGCCGAAGTCGCACCAACCACTTCTTCACATTTAATTTTTTTTGTTTGCTTTTGGTTTGCTTTTCCTTCAGTTGTTGTGTCAGGCAAGTGATACCATGTTCTGTGACTGCCCGTATAACGGTATAAGAGAGATTTAAAGTGTAGTGGCACTGCAGTGGTAGAGTTACTCACCCCGTTAGGACCAGGATCAGCGCAGAGCTTTCCCAGCTCAGCCATACAGTCCTCCTGCAGGGCGGGATTCATCTTGGCGCTGTGTGCACGCCTAGCCAATGCGCGGTGCACTTCTGCCTTGCACTCGCGAGAGATAGCCTATGCGTAGAGCATGTATGTCACAACACACCATGTACCATGTACACACACACACACACACACACGCACGCACGCACACACACACACACACGCACACGCACACACACACGCACACACACACACACACACACACACACACACACACACACACACACACACACACACACACACACACACACACACACAGCATCAGGGTGTCAAACATGACAGGAAAATAAACTACAAGCACCACATAAACACATGTCAGATGTCTACATCCTCAGACTGTGTCCTGTGATCTATGTCCAGTGGACAGAGCCAATACCACATGTCATGAATATTCACACACACACACACACACACACATGTCATGAATATTCACACCCACACAAACACATACCACTGTCAATTGTATTCTGTTTGCCCGTAAAAGAGGCCTTAGTCTTCCTGTTGATTATGACCAGGGAGTCGTAAAATAACGGTAATTTACGGCTCCCTGATTATGACTCAATAATATGAGTAGATTTGGAGCAACAGGTCAGACAGTACGCGAAGCTCGAAGCAGCGTGACTGTGTGGGTGACCATGGTGACTCGACTAAAAAAGTATCATGATTTTGTAATAAATTATTTGCTCCGACACAAACACATGTCATGACTATTCACATCCACACAAACACATGACTGTCATGAATATTCACACCCACTACTACTACTACTACTATAGCATGACTGCCCATTGGGCAATGTCACCCCCGGAGGGGGCCAGAGTTTGGAGGGCACCGTCATTGGCAGGACTTCTGGTGCCTCGTCAAGTCTTGCTGTCGTCGGAAACGCTTTGGGCAATGCATGCAGATCAGCGGCAGTGATTCCCTATCGGCTGCAGCAAGACGTTTTCCACGGTTGCAGTTATGGCGGTTAAAACCAGCCCGGGACTTGAAGCAGCGATTGCAGCGTTGACAATGCTGAAAGCAGCAACTAGCGAGAGACGCCGTCAATGCCGTATCTGCATGTTCAGGGAGTGCTGGCTGGCAGCGATGAACTGCAAGCCCACCCTTACTTCGGAACCATCGGCAGCAACTGACGCACTGTGCTGACCCCCCCCCCCCACACACACGTCCTGGGTATACGGATACCTCTGACGGTGCGAATTGCATCAACAAATGACGTCAACAGGAAATTCTGCCGGGACAGCACCCACAGTCGACTTGCACACTCTTGAGAGGTTATGTACTCATGCTCACACCCACACTACGTCTACCTGGCATCTCTTACTCCTTACCTGGCCACCCTCAGGACTCCTGCCCTCTTCAGACGCAGCATCCTTATCGGCGAGACGATTATTCTTCACCTCGGCACGGTACAGGCAGGAGAGAATGAACGCAGGCGGATCTGCAACGTTACCACGTGAAGTCGGTGTGTGACAAACTTCTGCTATGTCGTTGTCACAAACCTTGGCCAGGCGTGGTGTTAGGCTACCGCAGCACAGAAACCAACCATGCAGATACAGATGTGTGATAAGACACAGAGAGAGAGAAAGAGAGAGAGAGAGAGAGTGAGTGAGTGAGTGAGTGTGTGTGTGTGTGTGTGTGTGTGTGTGTGTGTGTGTGTGTGTGTGTGTGTGTGTGTGTGTGTGTGTGTGTGTGTGTGTGTGTGTGTGTGTGATGTTTGTCGCCGCTCTTTCCGCTCTCGTTCTGGTTTGAGCCGTCATCACTGTGACCGTGCGAAACGGATGTCACGTGCAGCCAGGAACAACTGCCGTCATGAATGCGAGCATTGCGAAAGACGGTTCTCAAGGCCACAGGACTTGCAACGCCATGCCAAATATTGTTGACTTTGCGATTTCTCTCTCTTCTCTTCTCTCTTCTTGTCGTTGTCTCCCGCTTCTGGGAGCGGCGTGGCCCGATAGGGTAGCTGTACATAGTAGTACATAGTAGTGTGTGTGTGTGTGTGTGTGTGTGTGTGTGTGTGTGTGTGTGTGTGTGTGTGTGTGTGTGTGTGTGTGTGTGTGTGTGTGTGTGTGTGTGTGTGTGTGTGTGTGTGTGTGTGTGTGTGTGTGTGTGTGTGTGTGTGTGTGTGTGTGTGTGTGTGTGTGTGTGTGTGTGTGTGTGTGTGTGTGTGTGTGTGTGTGTGTGTGTGTGTGTGTGTGTGTGTGTGTGTGTGTGTGTGTGTGTGTGTGTGTGTGTGTGTGTGTGTGTGTGTGTGTGTGTGTGTGTGTGTGTGTGTGTGTGTGTGTGTGCGTGTGTGTGCTTGAGAAGCGCACCATGTACACAGAGCCATACAGACACGAACAAAAACCAAAGTACTTGTGATTGTCTGGGTACTCACTAGATGAGGAAATGGCAAAGGGAAAAGTCTGAAGAGAAAATTGACCGTCCCAACCAGGACTCGAACCAGGGACCATCGCTTGAGGCCAGCGATGCTCTAACCACTGAGCTACGGTGTAGTCGTCATCCCAGCATAATGTTATTGTCTGAGCGGTGTTCTTCTCCCAACCTGAGCTGGCCTGCTACTGCCATTTTAGCAAGTAATCATACTCGCACACCGTATTTCCGCGCATATAAAGCCATGGCGTTATAGGTGAAACATCGCTGTTTTAGACCAAATTTTTGGAGAAAAAAGCCTCGGTTTTAACGCCATGGCGCTAAAAGTGAGAGACGCTTACATGCAAAAAATCGGCAGAGTATGAACTTCGAGTACTCGTACGGTGCCGTTGCACGTTCATGTCGAGCACCCATGTACTTTCAATTTTCCCTGAAAATTTCAAATTGTGAACCTATTGTGTACAAGGTGGCATACAAACTTGTGTGAAGGTGTGGTGGCGGTAGGGCATGAGACAGTGGGGATGGGTACATGCAGAGAGAATCACCGCTACTGTAGGTTCACAGAAAGAATTGAACTCACCTTTAACGCCGGATGCAACTTCCTCTACATTGAATTTTGTTCACGTATAACGCCATGGCTTTGTAAGTGAGGGTGGCCTTATATTCGGATATAACGCCATGGCTTTATAAGCGCGGAAATACGGTATGCCCCATACAAGTAGTCATACTCGCATATGCCCCATACTAAATGCCTACCATAGCTGTGATCAGTGCGTGATCCTAGCTGAACTGTGTCTGTGCAGTCACCACACAAAGTGCATACTTGCACATGTCCAACTAATACAATCAGACCAGGGAACCGGATAAGCGCACACACATACTGTATGTATGCATGCCACGAGTTGTAAATAGGTAACCAGCGATTTTCTTCCGGATGGCGAGGGATCCGGATAAAAGAGGACCGGATAAGCGAGGTCTGACTATACTACAAATCACTTACTTTATGTCCCTGGAGAAGAAGAACTGAAGACCGAAAAGATGGCGGCGACACTGAGATGGTGTTTTCTCATCATCAATCTTCGACATCAAGCACTGCACAATACTGTGAAAGCACACACACACACACACACACACACGCACGCACGCGCGCGCACACACATGCACGCACATATGTACGTGTATGCGCACGCACATGTACATGCACACACACACACGCACACACGCACAGACACACAGGACAAACACAGTCGATACGAAGAGAAACAACGCTACGCGATCAAACAAGCACAGAGTGACGCAGCAAAAGACGCTATGAAAGACGCAACGAAAGACGGGTGTGTGCGTGTGCTCATCAAACTACGTGCCTAATGCAAATACAACATTCAATACAGGACTCCTTCAAAGTTCAGTAAACCCTACCACAGTAACCATCTTTCCTACGATTGTAGAGAGGACCACAGAATCCAAGACTAAAGGCTATCACTTCTACTACCGTACTGGCAATATATGTTGCCGCGTAACGCGTAACGCAGGGGGGTGCGGCGTAACGCGCGACCAGGCTAGTGCGACAAATTTTCGTTGAGTTCGTAACGCGCGTCCGGCGGGGTGCGGCGATCTTTTCATTGCAGTTTGCACTGCAAAGAAAGGCTGAAAACCAGGGAGTCGTATAGACCGTATAGGGTCTATAGGGTCTATACGACTCCCTGCTGAAAACTGTGAAAGCACGTGTAGCCACGGTGACTTTGTAATATGTTGTACACTCATTAACTGTGTGAGTGACAGTAGTTTTTGGAGGAAGCGCTCTTCCCCTATGTCACTTTCCTTTTGATGATCTTTTTGTGAACAGATCACTCTGATAGTTAAAATATACAGTCTTCTATTGATATCGTTGTCGCCCTTTGCCGTCGGGTTTGTAACAGTTGGATAGCAACTGAATTTCTGTGCCTTCAATGTGGATGAAAAGAAAAAATGATGCGGCAAAAGCAAAAATATTATGCGGCAATAGCAAAAAAGTGATGCGGCAATAGCAAAAAAAGGACTGCGGCAATATAAACCTGTGTAACGGCTCCTGTGCGACTTTGCATGTAACGCCCTGCGTGCGGCAAACATGTGCCAATGTAACGCTTCATGGCCTCACTGCGGCAACATATATTGCCAGTACGGTAATATTAGTCAACGCAATGAGTAAAGCAAGGTGTGCATTCAAAACACACGCCATTCGCACAGGTTGGATTTCCTTGAACGTTTCCGTTGCCATCTCTTCAGAAGGAATATACTGACAAAGGTAGTTCAATGAGTAACACAATATACTTATTGCGTTGATTTCATTTCCGTCTCCATGAAAACTGCTGAACTAATCTTTTCCTGGATAATTGGACCACCTGTACATGAGGATCACATCTGGTAGGGGGAGGGGGGGGGGGGGGGGGGGGGATGAGTGCTTGGCTCAGACAGAGTTCAGTGCATGAGTGCTTGGCTTAGACAGAGTTCACTGCAAATGCACAGAAAGACTAAGCACTACATGTAGTGTCCAGTCATAAGTCTGAGCGAGTTCTGAGCGAGTTCAAACGGGAAAAGTATGAAGAAACATTGATCGTCACCACCAGAACTCGAACCAGGGACCTTCGCTTGAGGCCAGTGATGCTCTAACCACTGACCGATGGGGTAGTCGTCATTCAAGCAGCGACCGTTCAACATTTTCTTCAGACTTGAGAAGAGCAAAGAAGCACGCATTGTCATGAACCTCAACCGCAGATCTTGCACAGTGCCGCTCGGTGAAATCCGGTCGAGTGAGTCAACGCTGCTGCGCCTTGCACCAGTGCCAGTGGACATGCCGGTGTTCGCAGGTATAGGGTTACACGGCAGCACCCAGCCCATGGCATACTTGACTCAAGCACCCAGCCCATGGCATACTTGACTCAAGCGGACAGACTTCATTGAGCCACTGCTGGCTTGGTACCGTACTGGACATTGAAATCCGTTGAGAAGTCAAGCGGCCATGGGGCGCTGGCCTTGCAGCCGCTGTGAGCACTGCCAGTGGTCCATGTTTACAGTGTGTACATGAACTACAGTGCAAGTGTGGGCTGAAAGCAGTAAGGGTACCGGCCCCGGTCATGCCATCAGATGTCAATGCCCACGACAGTACATGTACATGGTACAGAAACTGTCAGAAATGCACCGGCACAGCCGGCTGTAAACTTACAACTTGTCCGACTCATGGGTCTCACTGTGTGGACACTCGTTGTCTATGACTGGGCGACATGCTTCCTCCAAGACGTGGTCGATATGCACGTTCTTAGCTGGATTGGCAACCTTGATTAAAGATAGCACCTAGCATGATGCACACACGCACGCACACACACGCACGCACACACACACACACACGCGCACACACACACACACACACACACACACACACACACACACACACACACACAGTGCAAGACACACAACAGCACACAGACCGTGCAAGACACACACGTCAGACCTGCTCATCGCGATAGCGATGATAGCGAACAGCTATGTTAGACATAGCAACGTGTGCTGCGATTACACCATTCAACAGCTTGCAAGGCTGATGCTGATTTAAGTGGCTTTATCTGGCCAGTGAATCCCTATTTTTTTCATTTTTCCATTTTTTCATTCCTTTTTTTACACACACACGCCACACCACATACTCCGGCATACACTGGCTGTTGGTAAACACCCAGGAGAATGAAAGAAGAGCTAGGAGAATGAGAAAGAGAAGAACGACGTGTGCGACCATAATCGCGAGACACACACACACACACACACACACAGACACACACACACACACACACACACACACACACACACACACACACACACACACACACACATACACACACATATACACACAGTGCAAGACACACAACGAGCTATGGAGAGTCTAGCCGTGTGGTTTGATGAAAAGGCAGGAATGCCGGTGTGTCCGGTGACACAACATAAAAACACTTCAGCGTGGTCGTACAGTCCCGGGAGGTGTTTGTGTTAGCTTAGCTACAGAGCCAGACAGTGTCGTGCACTGCCCAATGGTGGTGTATACAGTAATAAAGACGGTGCATTTCACTCGTCAGAGCAGTAAAGTCAGTATTCAAGTGATGTCCAACAACTACGACTCACAGTACGAGCGTAGCAGAGAGAAGTTTTTACAAAATTAATAGGACAGCAAAAAAAGTTCCGCTACAGCCGTGTGAAAATTCCAGCACACCCACAGTTCAGTCCATTTCAGCATAATCTTAATTTCATTGGATCAACATTTTGATGCATGCACTGTAAACCCGTGCCTTGTCGTCACACTACCCAACTGCATAGTTATTCATGCCTTGTTGCCACACTACCCAACTGCATAGTTATTCATGCCTTGTTGCCACACTACCCAACTGCATAGTTATTCATGCCTTGCTGTCGCACTACCCAACTGCATAGTTATTCATGCCTTGTTGCCACACTACCCAACTGCATAGTTATTCATGCCTTGTTGCCACACTACCCAACTGCATAGTTATTCATGCCTTGTTGCCACACTACCCAACTGCATAGTTATTCATGCCTTGTTGCCACACTACCCAACTGCATAGTTATTCATGCCTTGTTGCCACACTACCCAACTGCATAGTTATTCATGCCTTGTTGCCACACTACCCAACTGCATAGTTATTCATGCCTTGTTGCCACACTACCCAACTGCATAGTTATTCGTGCCTTGTTGTCGCACTACCCAACTGCATAGTTATTCATGCCTTGTTGCCACACTACCCAACTGCATAGTTATTCATGCCTTGTTGCCACACTACCCAACTGCATAGTTATTCATGCCTTGTTGTCGCACTACCCAACTGCATAGTTATTCATGCCTTGTTGTCGCACTACCCAACTGCATAGTTATTCATGCCTTGTTGTCGCACTACCCAACTGCATAGTTATTCATGCCTTGTCACACTACCCAACTGCATAGTTATTCATGCCTTGTTGCCACACTACCCAACTGCATAGTTATTCATGCCTTGTTGTCGCACTACCCAACTGCATAGTTATGACCTGGTTACACTGGTGACTGTTAGACGGAACTCGCAACATGTTGTCCTTTGTTTTATCTACAAGAATACAGCCGTCAAACGTTCGAGAAGTCAGCGTAGCTAGAGAGATGGGGACGCAAGGAGATGGCAGCCTTACCTCCTGTGAGCACTGGTCATTGAGCGCAGCGTCCTGGCTCTTATTGGCAACGGCCTCGATCAAGCAGCTCACGACAACTCCTTTACCGGCATTCTCGCCAAAGCGACCGGGTGCACACGGTCCATCGACCATGTCCTTACATTTCTCCACCAGTTCCGGGCTCAGCTCCTTGTCTCCCATCAGACGCTGGCGCATGAAGCGCACTTTGCCGAGGCACGAGTCCTTCAGCTTCTGACCGCCTGTACAACATCAGCATGCGGCCATGGGTGTAAGTACGCGCACGGACAAACACACACACACACACACACACACACACACACACACACAAACACACATACATACATACACACACACACACACACACACACACACACACACACACCAGCAACCAAAAGGCAATAGTGTGTTGCGCCGCACGAGTAAAGATAAAAACTACTACTTCCACAACTACCACTGCAACAGTAAAAAGTGCCAGAATCAGAAAAAATTCTCCAGTTTGAGTTGCTAAACACAACAATAACAAATAACAGCATGCAATTCCAGCAGTGGAACACAACAGGTGCCACACAACAGACATAGACAGACACACACCTTCATCAGTGTTACCATCTGAAAGACACCTCAAGACACTAAAGAGACGCATGAAACCGGCACTAGATGAGGATTGCTGGTGACAATGCAAGCGCGTCAAGTCTTGAGCACACTCCCGGACAAGAGAATTGGCCACCTGGAGAGAGAGAGAGAGAGAGTGCGTGAGAGAGAGAGAGAGAGAGAGAGAGAGAGAGAGAGAGAGAGAGAGAGAGAGAGAGAGACAGAGAGAGAGAGAGAGAGAGAGAGAGAGAGAGAGAGAGAGAGAGAGAGAGAGAGAGAGAGAGAGAGAGAGAGAGAGAGAGAGAGAGAGAATGCATACGTTCACTTGCTGTAAACGTGAAACCGTTTGCGTATTGGACATTCGCTGCCATTTTCCCTGCGGCGCTATTTCACGGCTACAAAAACTTGTCAACTGATACCGTTTACACTGTTGTACTCTTCGCTCAAATTGTGACCTAAAACTGGCATAGACACTGCCCTGCATGCCTGTACTGTGTGGTCATGAGATTGAAGTACAGCCTGTGCATGTGGCTCTCTACAGTCCATTTCAAAACTATAGACGCGCAGTGTTTTTTTTGAAATATTTGAAATTTGGCTGGAACTTTTTGAGAATAGTTTTCGGAATATTGCTCAGGTCCGCTGCACAATTACTCTCATAATTAGAGTTTCTAAACGATTGGATAACAGACGCCCAATTTGGAAAAAATTATGCACAAAGTGATCACAGATTTTATGTGGTGTAGATGCTGGCATAACGGTTTTTGCCTAGGTACGCGTCTATAGTTTTGAAATGTACTGTAGCTGGTATCATCCAGCTCAAAACAAACACACGCAGGCAAGTACTGGAAGACATGTAAATAATATAACGAGGAAGTAAATCTAAAGTTTCAACGAGTGACATTTCTTCACTATAAGCGCAAATCCGGTGGAACAAAAAGTTATTTAATGTCTCTAGTCACGAGTTTCATGCTGAAAAGCAATCACCAGAAGACGGGGGCTATACTCGAGGTTGTGTGGTCTTATTCACTGTCATAAGTTCTGTTTAGGCTGCAATGCCTCATAATCATATGTGTTATGTGCAGATATGCCTGAAGACTGCAAGATCGTTAACGTATCTTCTAGCGAACCCATAATATTATGGATTTGGGACAATGGTTTTAATTTGCGACTCGTTTATAAGAACATGTCATACGGTATGGTTTATAAAGTAAAGTTTGCACGTCCGCGTTACCACCGGCTATACAATTGCGTTGAGAAACACAACCAGCTTAGGAAGTTTCGCATGTGCCAGGCCACCACCATGCCTGTGATACCAGGGTGGCAGATGGTTTATAGCCTGAGATTATAAGCCCATGGCACAATGACGTCATTTGTACCAAAAAACACCCCATCACAGCCACCTGCGCATTATTATTATTATTATTATTATTATGACGACTTTATTCACTCCCAAAGCAGAAAAAGAAAGCTCGAAAGGAGGCATGAAGTACAGCACCAGTTATTATTATTTCTCCTTTATTCACTTCTTTCGAAGGCGATAAGCCAGACCCACCGGGAAATATTTCCATGGGTGGGACAGCAAAAAAGAAAGTGAAAAAACAAAAACAAAAATAAATAAATAAATAAAACCTAAAAACCAAAGGGACAAGAACTAGTTGAAGGAAGAGGAAGAAAGGAAAGAAACTCAATCCGAACTCCAACATCAAAACAATAATAAAGAATTTGCAGCGACAGGCAAAATACATCAACCAATGAAGGGAGTAGTAACAAAGGAAACATCAGTCTTTATCTTATTAATTATTATTATTATTATTATTATTATTATTTCTTTTTGGGCATTATTATTATTATTATTATTACACCTTCCCGTGGCTAAAGATGAATCAGTACCAATATAAATGAGGAGGGTGTGTTTGCCAGCCATGGCGTAGAAAGAAAGTATAAGAAGTGTGGTGGTGCACCAATACCATGGTCACCTGGGGTGTTGAACAGTGCATTGCTGATCCCAGCGTACTCACGTAACACCCCACACAGCTACACCTATGCATGGTCGTCTGGGGTGTTGAACAGCGCATTGCTGATCCCAGCGTACTCACAAAACACCCCACACAGCCACACCTATGCATGGTCGTCTGGGGTGTTGAACAGTGCATTGCTGATCCCAGCGTACTCACAAAACACCCCACACAGCCACACCTATGCATGGTTGTGTGGAGTGTTGAACAGTGCATTGCTGATCCCAGCGTACTCACGTGCATTACTCATACCTTCCATATTTGGCAATGCGCAATGGGGTAAGTTGCTAGTACAGTCAAACCTGTCGTAAGCGACCGCCCCTTGGTGCAAGAAAAAGCGGTCTCTTACGGCAGATGGTCTCTTACGGCAGATGTATGGTAAATCCGGCATACCGGGCATGCATAATGCTTCCATGTACTCAAATCGACGAGAATAATGTGATTTTTCAAAATCATTTTATTGGATATTCAATAGAATATAGCGGTGCCAGAGCCAGTCGATCGCACTTGCAAGACAGCGCATTTTCACACCTTGCAGTTGACAGCGCACTGGCAAGTACAGTTTCGCAACTGACTGAACCTGGGTCGCGGTCGCTTACAGCAGATTTGAATGCAGCCACCGTGCATGAAATCGCGGTCGCTGGTCGCGCACAGCAGATGGTCGCTCTGGACAGATCAATTTGTATGTGAAACCGTCGGTGCACGGAAAATCGGTCGCTAACGGTAGATGGTCGCCTACAGCAGAGGTCGCTAACGGTAGATGGTCGCCTACAGCAGAGGTCGCTAACAGTAGATGGTCGCCTACAGCAGAGGTCGCTAACGGTAGATGGTCGCCTACAGCAGAGGTCGCTAACGGTGGTCGCCTACAGCAGAGGTCGCTAACGGTAGATGGTCGCCTACAGCAGAGGTCGCTAACGGTAGATGGTCGCCTACAGCTGAGGTCGCTAACGGTAGATGTGACTGTATTCTAATTTCAGAAATTTTAGGCGCTCAATATTTTCGGCATGAGGGCAAAATGCCAGGTTAGGCGAACAGAAATTTTAGGTCCTTGCACAGAGAAGCAGTTCCCTATTGGATTAGGGCGCGTTCAGACTACCGATAAAAAGTGACGGAATGGGAAAGTCACCAAGGTGATTTGATCACGTGACGTTACTGGCACGTTACCGGTGGAAAAGTTTTACTGCCGCGGCTGCTGTGGCAGTAAACTTTTTACCGGCAGTAAAAAAGTGCTCAGGCTGCATGCGCGCTGGGAAAAAAGGGAAAATCCCTTGCCAGTGCCGCGGTGAGAGCTGAAAACTTCACGGTAACGTTAGTTTGTTGTCGGTAGTGTGAATGTCATTCACGGTTTATCGGCATTCACGGTTTGACGGGATTCACGGTAGTCTGAACGCGCCCTTATGTGTGTTAGGGAGCATCTCATAAGTTCGCATTTTGTTTCTAAACGTAACGCATTTCGAAACGGGGGTAGGGGGGTAGCGCCCATTTCGGATAGAAAAATGACCGTTCGCACATTTTCTGGATGTGTGCAATACAGTGCTGAGCTTGTGCTAGACCGCTTCAGACAGCAGGGTACGGGTGTGTTTTAGGTGTAGATCTAACCCTTGCACTACGCATGCAGGCTACTCAGAGGTGTCAAATGTCACACCAGCCTGATCAAACCGTGTACCTGCCACCTGGCCAGCTTTGACAGTACAGTCGTTGTGGAGTAACTCTGTTTATGTGTGTGTACATGTCATTGATTGAACTAAGACTGTAACTAATACTTACTTGTACTCAGTAGATGTGGTACTACTGTATGTCATTCACTTCGACACTAGCGTCCATGTACATGTACATGAACATTGTACATGATTGTGCATACCATGGCATGTACAGTACAGTAGATTTACACTGAAAATGTGCGATAAGACTTTCAAATAGTGGGGGGAGGTAGGAGGGTAAAGTCTATTCGAAATGCGTTACGTTTACAAAAAAAGTGCGAACTTATGAGATGCTCCCTTAGTGTTTGTTTGGTGTATTGAAATTTTAGGTATGAAACAGATGCACCGAAAGTACCGAAAATAAAAGTACGCCGAAAATTTGTGAAATTACAGTACTTCATGTATTGTGATACAAATGTAGGTGTTTACCTCAAAGTCCATCGCAATGAGACGAGACCTTCTCTTGATTTGAGCCAGGCACTGGATGGGCAAACGCCAGCAACCAACAAACCAACACCAACCAACAAACCATCATGAGAATCAACATCATGAGAAGCAACATCAGAAGCAACAACAACAACAACAACAAGCAAACAAATTCTAACCATCTTCATAAGGAAGCTCTGCCCATTGCCATATTGAGCACTGGGTTGGCTTACACACAACCGTACCTTTTGCGACACGGATGGATCGTGCTGATGGAGTTCCAGACAAGTAAACATGTTCCCTGGCTTGTTCATCTCCACCGTGGCACAGAGTGTTTGCCGTTCGTTGGTGCAGTGATGGAAGAGAGGGCGATCCAACTCAGCCCAGTTAGATTGCTCCTCTTTCTTGAGTAGGCGACCGCGACACGCCGGGGTGAGGTCCTTGATGTGATTCTCCAGGCATTCCAGCACTTTTCCCTGGCTGTTGACTGTCGCTACGTCGTTGTCTCGCTCTACCGGCTGTGTGTACAAACACACAGACATATATACACACAGACATACACATATGGAGAGAGAGAGAGAGAGAGAGAGAGAGAGAGAGAGAGAGAGAGAGAGACAGAGACAGAGAGAGAGAGACAGAGAGAGACACAGAGACACAGAGAGAGAGGGACACACACACACACACGCACACACACACACACACACACGCACACACACGCACACATACACACAAACACACGCACACACACACACACACACACACACACACACACGCACACAAACACACATACACATACACGCACACACCACAGCCAAAGCAACTCTAGCTCAGTAACACCATACAGACATAGTACAGTCAAGTGTGGCACATGACATGACTACAAATAGGATAATAGTCCACTTGGTGGAACAATCCAGACAAGGAAATCCGGAAGAGTGGAGCGTACATGTATTTTAAACTTCGAATTTGAAATTTCCTACTCAAAAACTCCTGAGCTAGAGCCACATTGAACAAATCCGAACATTAATATTCAAAATATTGCCAATGCTCTTTCGGCAACTGCCACCACACCATAACTTACAGCAATGCGTTCACAACTGAATTTGGTGATGTCGCCGGAGCAGTTCGTAACAACGCCCTCCACAAGCCGATAGTCGCTGAACACAATCATCTTAGCTTGGCGTAGCAAATGCTTGCACACGGCACGGTATTCAGACGTGTGCTTGCGCAGGTTTTCCGACAGGCAGTACAGAGCTCGGTCCTTCTGATCCCCGCAGTAATTCTTCATCTGCATGCAGAAAACGGGACAATACGTGCATACAAAGGCAAGCGCACACGCACACACACACACACACACACACACGCGCGCGCGCGCGCACACACACAAACACATCTTTGAGCAGGTCTCTCCATGCAGTACGTACACAACATTCGTCAAGCACCTGTCTGCTGGCTTATGCATCGTGTATCAATAATAAATAATGGCGGCACATTAGCCTGGTTTTAGTGTTGACATACAAAGAAATACCTGGTTTGAATAGAAGCCTGACTTGAATAGAAGCCTAGCACTGATATCGGCTTTTACAGGAATAAGCCAATCGAACATGGTTGAACAAGCGGTCACGTGCTCCTGCGTACACCAGTCACCTGGTCACCGTGCCTGCAGGGTACAACTTACTAGCCTGTTTGACCTTTTTTGGGTGCACTCCTGTCACTCGAGTTGAACCTTGGTGTGAAAGTTGTCCGCCTGCTGGCGTGGTGACCAGGTGATTTGGGCACCCAGGAGCACGTGACCGCTTGTTCAACCATGTTCGATTGGGAATAAAGGAGGAACGCTGCATCGCAGCCTTTTCGGACCAAAACCAGCCGACTCAGCGTCCAAAAGACGACAACATATGGGCCAATCGCGGTCATCCGTGCTTTTATAAGAACGGCATGGCGCTTTTAAAAACATTTTGCATACAAATCCCCATCTAGTAGGGCGCAGTCACCCAGTTTCGGTGGAAGTGCGCGAGTTCGATTGGGATTCAAGTAGGAAGGGAGCGTCTCAGCTTTCTCGGACCAAGACCATTCGACTCAGCACCCCGAAGACTACAACTGGTGAAATTTTGATTTTGCCTTAACTTCCCCTTTAATAGGCAACATTACGTTACTCATTTGCTTGAGGGGGAAAGTTCGAAGAAAAAGTTCACTGTCACCACCAGGACGCAAACCGGGGACCTTCGCTTGAGGCCATTACAGTACGAGGTGAACAGCAATTTCAGGACATAAAAGTAAAATAGAGCCCCACTGGCTGTGTGTTTTACATTTTTCATGTCTTTTCGTATTTATTGTATGGTCTAATCCTTCATCTTTCCAAATATGTGACAATTGCTCATGCTGTGATCCCAGAGACTTGATAGCAGGGCGTTTTTGACAGGCGGATATTTTGGCCTAAATTTCGAATTCTGAACATGAAGATAAAATAGCGTCAATAGGCATCCTATACTGCTCCACTTTCGTTATGTTTTTCTATTGGTGGACTGCAGTTGGCCTCTTCACACTTCCAGCCAACAGGTCCAAGACTGTACAGTGTCTGAAGTGGAGTGCACATGGGGATGCCAACGATTCGTCCATTACTTCTTATTTTGCTCAAAATTCAAAATTCTCGAGCAACATCGTTCCACAAAACTCGTTGAAATGCCGCACAAGCAAAGGCTATCAACAAGGCACCGACACGAGGAGAAACTACAACAGCCAAGCTGTCAACTACAACAAGAAAAAAACTTCATCAACTCGAGTGACTTGACTCTACATGCGACGAAAAATTATTTTACTCGAAATGTCCAGAAATGTACAATGTCCAGAAATAGCAATTCACCTCGTACTGTAAGAGTTAAAAGCGTAACAAGTGGAACGTTTTTAGCAATTGGCAATTTTTCCACTTTGCAGGCACTAAGTTCAACGACCTCTGCCATCAAACACCCGTCCATCATTGCTCTAGTAACTTACGGGAGAGATCTTATCTTTCAAGTATGTGTTTATGTGTGTTAGGGAAGGGGAGTGGGGGGGTGGGGGTTTGGGCAGGGCGGGGGGCGGAGAGAGAGTAAGTTACATTTATAAAGACAGGTAAGTCTAACAAATGAGGACTGAGACCTCTACAACAGGGTTTTTACGCCTGAAAGCAGGTGCATGATTTAACAAGCAGGTTGTCAGTCTAGATTTTATGCGCAGATGGAGAAGAAAAAGAGAGAGAGAGAGAGAGAGAGAGAGAGAGAGAGAGAGAGAGAGAGAGAGAGAGAGAGAGAGAGAGAGAGAGAGAGAGAGAGAGAGAGAGAGAGAGAGAGAGAAGCAATGCTTTTAGGTAATCATACTACCAATGTTCCTAAGGCTCTCTCTCTCTCTCCTCCTCCTCCTTCATCATGATCTTTGGAACTGGGTTGGATTGTTCAGAAGAGAAAGAAGGCGACACTGCCTGTGCGATTGGTGCAACAAACCAAGAAGCAACAACAACTTACTTCTTCCCCACAGAGCTGTCCCAGAGCGCCATCGATCTTCCAAGTCTTGGTCATGCTTAGTTTATAGTTCCAGAGCACTTTGTGGCAGCCACTCGATAACCTCTGCAAACACCAGCAGTCAATACAGCACACGACATGATCGTCAAAACACACGACATGATCGTAAAAACACACGACATCACATCAGTCTGGGAAAAACCATAAAAAATCAACTTGACGCTAAAACAACACCCAGTGAAACAATGGGGTTTATGCATAAAACATGGCCGCCACCTTCCTGAGGGGCTAGGGGCAACTTGTCCCATATTCGGCAGGTACAGCCAGTTGTAGTACATGTGTGGGTATGATCGTACACAGTTTATGACCTTTGATGCAGTACTGGTATCACAGTGTGTACCGTTCTAGCGTAAGTGGACTTGCCCCTCAAGATCAAACGGCGGGACTATTATGCATAAACCCCGTTAGGCCACACGTTTTTATTTCTATGTTTCTCGTCACCTGAAAATCTAAAAACGGATGCGAGAGGTGGAAAAAAATAAAAAATGACCGAAAAATAAAAAAAATTATTAGACCTTTGTTCACACTAAAATCCACCAATACACCATGCAAAATAGCATCCGTAGTTAGCAACTAGTATGTGGTAGGAGCTTCTGTCACAATCTGTGCATGTGCAGCTACAGTTGTGGCAAGTGAAATCCGACACTTGCCATAGGGGACAGCGCCTCAAATGGACATCAATGATGTAATGCACTGCACCAAATTTGTACTATAGAGCCGTATGCATCCCAAACAGGTCGAAGGGTCACAGCTTGGATACACACAAATCACAAACATGGTACACATAAGGAGTATTGGTATCCCCCCATTCATTTTTGCCAGCACCTTTTGAACCTTGACTGTGATAAAGTTGTATGCAGCACATGTACTGTACGTATGCAGGGCTGCAGAGGCTGCAGGATGCACGGTGCAGTCCCTTATGCCAAGTGTCGGATTTCACTTGCCACAACTGTAGATTGCGCACAAAAAATGGCGACCTCGCATCATGTGTCGCGCAGGCCAGGCCACATTGTGTACATGTGTGCATGAGTGTGCTGGTCCCCACATGCACAGTCAGTGCAGCACAGTTTTTTTCTTTTTTCCCTCCAGACTCCTGAATCGTATGCGCGCGGGTGACGAGAAACATAGAAATAAAAACGTGTGGCCTTATGGCCGTGTTGGCAGCAATTTGACTTTTTCAACTCACACATTGTCCTGGACGTACATGCTGGAGACCATTTTCAGCAGCTGTAAATATGTAAAAATATATTTAAATTTGTTTTAACATCTACCGAAGCTCACCAGAATAAGCCCCCTGCACTTTGTCAAGTATGGAGGGTATGAGCAAGAGTTCATAACCCCCCCCCCCCCCCCTAGAGGGGGCAACTTCACTGATCAGATCTGGGACGGCGAAATCCGTGTTGCACATCATAGTGTGACACCATGAGGAGGGGAAGTGTGTTTGGGTCTGGACCGCGTCGACGGAATGACGCAAGTCCGACCCAAAAAATGACGTACACCACGGATGACACCGTCCCACAACCCCATCCCGGTTGTGCACTCTGGGGGATTATGGACTGTTGGTACGAGTAATGCATGCGAGTATGCTGGGATCCGTGCTACACTGGCCAACACCCCGCACAACCATGCACGGCCACGCCATGGGTGGTTGGCCAGGGTGTTGGCCAGGGTGTTCAGCATACAAACTATGGCATTGCGCAATGAACATAATTATCACAAGTGAACGTTTAAATGTTCTATCTTGCGTATCCATAGTGCTGCACTCATATCTCTCTTATCAGTACCTCCAAGTTACCATGGTTACAGGCACCTCCGTCGACCTGGCACCGTGTGCGTGAGGTTTCGTGGAAATACAGGTGGAATCCTGATAATTCGAATATGGCCTAATTCGAACATACCGCTTAATTAGAAGTTTTTCCAGGACCGATTTCTATCAACGCCATTCCCACATAACAATTTCTGATAATTCGAACCCCGAACTGGACATGTCCGGTCAATTAGAAGTCCCACGGATTCCACTTACATAGAAAATGTGTAGGACTTGTGCTGATAATTCGAAGTTTGCAAAGTGTAATTCGAAGTTCACTGTTTGTTGAAATAGTGACGTCATATCCCAGATCCCTGGCCCTTCCCTATTAAAACGTACGCGATTCAGAGTAAGACTGGGATGGAGAGCCAAGGATTAAATTTAAAAGAAAGATAATTTTTTTACATGTTAGCCGTAGTTTCTCGTGTTATTTCATAACTTAGAACCTTCCCAGTTGGAAGGCTGTTGGTTTGCGCATCCAAGACGTGATGGAGCTTAACATCAGGTGGTTGAAAGTCAGTATCACATCAGTCAGTATTGTGCTAGCTGTTGCACTTTCTGACTACACAACACCTTGCTTATAACTGTTAGTGTTGGACACAAACTACGGATAACATGTTACATGTTTGGTGAATCAGAGTTACGGACATTTCCAAGTTATGGGCAGTGCCCCCCCCCCCCCCCCCCCCCCGGTCCCAGACTGCCCGGTCCCAGACTGCCCGGATACTGTAAAACATGTAATTTTAGGTGCACTAAAATTTCGGTGCCAGAGACCTGCCCGGTTTCAGGTGTAATGTAGAATTAGGTGACCAGCGTCCCCTCGCATACAGTGCATACGCTAGTGCCTTTTAGGTGTAATTTAAATTTAGGTGCCTGGTTTCTCTACCGAAATCACTGAAATTAAAGTTACACCGAAAATAACATGTTTTACGGTATAAGAGATATGAGTGTACACGTATCAGCCCACTGTCCAATCCCATGCAGTGTGCATAAAAGCAGTATCTGAATGCAAGCAGGTGTACAGATAGGCCATCGCGCACACACACACACACACACACACACACACACACACACATACACACACACACACACACACACACACACACACACACACACACACAGCATCCCCTATACTCACGTCGGCATGCTGCTGAAGACAGAAGAGGACGCGGAAGTTGCCTTTGCTCTGCGAGTCGGCGGTGATGTGCGGGCAGAAGGAAGTGACGTACTTGTGGCACTCCGGGTCCTGCGCCAGCACACTTGTTGGAGCTCCGGTGGTAGCCACTGGCCCAGCGGCACCACCTGCACCGGGTGCAGGGTGCTGCGCCTGCACTGCTGGCCGTTCCACTGAATCTACGCGATAGTCGTTCCCCTGCTGCTGCTGTTTCTCCTCGCCATTCTCACTCTCTTGTCCCTGCTCTCTGTCATCCGCAGGCTCGCGACCTTGATCCTGTTGCTGCTGCTGCTGTTGTTGTTGTCGCAGTTGCTGCATACGCTGGACTGGCTGCTGTTGCTTACCACCGGGGCGCTGCTGGCGTGGAATCGGCTGTGGCTGGCGTGGAAGCTGCCCGCGCCGCTCCGCACCACTCTTCATCATGACGCGCCCCGGCTGTGGCCTCCTGCGCTGCATTCGCATTTCGCCGTCGTCTTCCTCGTCAACGCCATTGCCAGGCATACGCCGCACACCACCGAAACTCTGACCAGCTGCTTGTCTGCCAGGATTCTGGAATTGGCCAGGTCGGTCGTCCCCCTCCTGCACATTCTGCACTGGGGCATTAAACCTTTGTCCCTGTGGCACACCTGCAGCTCTATTCATCCCCATAGGATTGGCGTTTCTCAGCCCAGGTGCACGTTGTTGTGCAGGAAATTGCCCATTATTACCCCCGACAAATCGCCGTGGGTTGCCTGCTGCTCCGGCATTGCGATTTATTCCCATGGCGCCTCGTTGCTGACCATGTCGCACCTGCTGTCGTACACCAGCCTGGTTGTCTGGCTCTTCGTCATCAGCAAACACAGAGCATGAGAGAACAGTTAGGGTGATGACCACACAAAGGCTAAAATGACTTGATTTGCCCATCATCGCGACCCAGGAGCGGACGAAGCCTCCGAATTAAAATCTCACAGTGAAGCGAGCATTGGGAACAATGCACAAATCTTTCATTGAACAAGGAGCGCGTCCGATAACCACACGAAAGGACGCTGTCCAAATTCCTGCCATGTGCCCACTGCACTGACTGTTCAGGTACAACTAGCTGTAGGTGCAAGGTGTAGATCTTGGTTTCTTGCATCCAGTGCATGCTGCATATGACTCTGTTCCAGATTTTCCGTGTTTGTATTGTACATGTACTGTATAAAAAAATAAAAACAATAATAAACATGAAAATGTGTGATGCATGCATGCATACATATCTACGTAACTCTACGTGTGCATCGTGCGTGCATAGACTACATACTACCGACGTCCGTATACAGGTCTGCTCTCGATATAACAACTCTCACTTGTACATAAACCTCGCTAGTAAGTAAAAAAATCAAATCCCGTGCCGAAACAGCATCACTCCCATACAAATTTTGTTCTACACAACATAATCCTACATAACATAAACCTCGACACAACACATGCTACGACGGTCCCCGAAGTGCTCACTCTCGATACAACATAAATTCACGTGCACGGTACGATCAAGCGGTAGCTAGCTAGGCAGTTTAGTCCTACATAACGTAAACCTCGGCATAACGCACCCTGTGGCGCGGTCCCCGACGTGCGCACTCTCGATACAACGTAGATTCACGTGCGCGGTACGATCAAGCTGTAGCCGTAGCTAGCCAGTTTAGTCCTATTGTGCATATATTCCGCGGCATTGATGGTATCTGATGTCGATGGTGGTACAGTGTGTATATGTTTGCACGGTTGAACCTGCCTTGTAACACCCTTCATTTTGAGGTACATCTTGTATTTTACACACGGTTTTCTACATAACATAACTCTCGATATAACATAATTTGTGCGTGGTCCCAGACATTACGTTATATGGAGAGTAGACCTGTAGTACAGTCTGTAAACAAGTCTGTTGTAGCTGTCATGTGTCGCTGGTTTATTCAGCAGCGGATCAGACCCTCAAAGAGTCAAAAAGGCACAAGAACTGAACAGAGCAACAGAGTCAGTACAAGCTGTAGAGCCAGTACTATTAGAGGGAGAAGGGGAAATCAAAGAGAAGTTAATTTGGTAATCTTTTTAGTACCTCGAACCCCGTGCTGAGTTTGATACGGTTTCTGGTATCTTGGCCGTAGACTACTACGCATACTGCTTCTAGCGGTTTCTTTGGATTTTACTGATTGATTACTAGTATACTGTAAAAAAAAGAGGGGGGTATACGACTTTAAAAAAAAAAAAAAAAAAAAAAAAAAATCAAAGAGAAGTACATGTAAGTAATTAGTTTAATAGTTCGGGTGGAAAAGGAAAGGCAAGAACATAAAAAAGTCATTGAAAAGAGCGGTCGAGTACTACTACGGTTGACGAAGCATGCCTAGCGCCTACTGATGTGCGTATAACAATAATTATTAACAGATATAAACTTAACAATCCTAGACCTACTCAGTACTCTTGCTCGGACATAGTCTGCCTTGTGCAAGTGTAGCTGAAGTGAAGATGACAGTAACTATGAGTTGCATGCCTGAGCTGAGCTGCTATGCGTGAGCTGAGCATGAGCGGCTCTACAACGCAAATGACTGTACTACCGGTATGACTTGTCTTCGTAGACCTAGCTAGCTACCGGTACGCGGTACCATCTACAAAAAAAATGGTGACACGTGTTTAATAGCAGTTTGTCAAAAACCTTCGTCTCAACCAGGGAGTAGTACAATACTGTACTACTCCCTGGTTTCAACTAACTTACTACACTCTCGTACGATCGTCTCGACATCTCAATCTACAGTCCATTCAGAAAAAGATGGACTTCTAGCTTTTGGCCATAAATGGGTCAAACTTTGAGTTTTTTTAGAATTTTTTTCTGCAATCCCCTATGGAATCCTCTTCCAATTATGTTTCTGAAGTCTATTTGTCCAAAAAGCAAGCCATAACAAGAATTGGATATCGGCCAGGTTTTGCCCCAGAAGCATTGAATTGGAAAAAACCATCAAAATCCAGGCCGTTTGACCCTGCCTGCAACAGTGCATTGTGGGGTTCGAACCCCAGTTCAGGTACCCTTTTTGGACTCTTTTTCAAAGATCAAATTTCGCAGCACTGCACTGTGTACAATGAAATCACGAAAAATCGCCAAATACGGGAGCTCGCCAGAGCCAGGGCCCATCTTTTTCTGAATGGACTGTAGTCTAGTAATAACTATTAGTTAGTTAGGGGCCTATTATATGTGGAACTTCAGACCGGGCTGGAGCAAGCGGGCCAGCCCGCCAAGGGTGTTTACATATGCAAGGCCGGGCTGGTCGCCAGCCCGTAGTGAGTTTATATGCGCTAAGCACACGCCAGCCCGTTGTGAGTATGCAGCAAAATTTAATACACTACGACTGTAGTGTGCTGCCCCGGGCTGAAACGCAGGGCTGCAAGCCATACTCAGGTTATAAACCTAAAAACTTTTTTTCTCACACAATGTATTCTTCTGCTGATTTCTTTTCGCGCTGTGGCACATGTTTGGTGTGTTGTATCACCTCGTTTCTTTTCCCTGTTTTTCACATTTTTAGCTGTCCACATCAAAGTATTTTGCAGGTACATGTAGTTCCTCTTCCACTTTAATGTAAATCATGCCTGCCGACAAATAAACAGTGCTCACTGCACGTCCTTCTTGTTGCTGTACAAAAAGCTTCCTAGATTTTCAAGACAATATCGGGAATCCTCTTTTTAACTACCCTCAAAAGGTAAAAGTACCTATTTTGTAGTATGAACGCAGTGTCGACACCATAATAATACAACTCTGGCCCGGGCTGGTCTGTTTATATTGTGCTTTTTCTGGCCCGCCTAGCCGGGATCCCGGGTGCCTCGAGGCGGGATCCCGCCTCGCCGGGCCAGCCCGCTTGCCATGTAAACGCACCACAGGTTTTGTGTGGATTTGTGTACAACCCCGAGATCCCGTTGCAGGCGGGCTGGCCCGCCTGTCGACCAGCCCGGGCTGGAGCTGCACATATAATCACCCCCTTAGTCTGAATAGTCAGCTAAGTAATAGTTACTAGCTAGTACTAGTAGTACTGTAATCTGTATACTAACTGTTAGTATTACTTATTACTAGGGCTCAAACGGTCACGGTTTTACCCCTGACGGTTAACTGCTAAGCTAACGGTCGGTTAACCGGTTATAACCTATAAGCCACGGCAATCCTGCGGACTCTTTTTTAACCGTATATTTGACTATACTCATTCAAAAAATGTACCCTATACAGTACAATGCACACTTGTACATTCTCTTGCATGCTCATTCATACATACTCTCACACCAAGAGACCAGATATGACCGAGTTGACAGCCCAGAAATTGCGTACGCGTGCGACAGCCCGCGAAAGTGCACACTTTGCAACGACCTGATACTTGAAAAATTGACTGAAAAGTTACTGCGTAACCGTTATCTTTATCGGTTAACCGTTAATACTTCGTAACCGGTCTGCAACCGGTTAATCGGACTAATCGTTTGAGCCCTACTTATTACTCTGATTAGTCGCTATTCCTATTACTTAGTAGGTACTAGTACAGTCATGACTGCACCGCACGGCAGGCTTGCAAGAGCGTGGAGTTCCACGTCGCGCACTGCATGCAATGATACATCGCCATTCGTGTGTTCATGAGGCATGCGTGTGTCACTGAGTCTGTCACTGTCACTGTCAGTCAATGCACTATGATACCGTGACTATGCACTGCCACCAGCGCTCGACGTCGCGGACTTGGTCGATTTTGATTGTTTTATTGACAA